CTTAATGGAGACAAGATGGACCTTATATACAGAAAGACTGTGGGAGGGATCTAGGAGTGGCCAACTAGTTTGGGGTGACTGGAGGAAGGGTCTAAGGAGGATCTGGACGGGAGTGGCCAGTAAACTGGAGTGAACAGAACTCCTGGGACCTGAATCATATGACCAAGGGAGAATGGAGCCTAGCTAGGATTAAGGCTGGGAAATGGCCAAGGGGAGGTAAGACAATGGAGAGCTAGGCAGATTAAGGGTAACAGAGTTGGGAGATTGGGTATACCCACAATGAAAGGCCAGTTGATGGGATTATAGCCTAAGGCAAATGCCAGAGATTTGGCCATATGGGAAAGTTTAGGGTTTTTCCTTTCTGGGGTCCACATCTCAACCCCATCAGCATCATAGTCTATATAATACTGTTTGTAAGAAGTAGATAGCCTAATTGTTGTCATTCCGTCATTTCAGTCATGTCTAACTCTTCATGACCCTATTTTGGGGTTTTCTTAACAAAGATAGTATAGTGGTTTGCCATTTTCTGTTCCAGCTCTTTTTTACAGATGAGGAAACCAAAGCAAATAGGGTTAAGTGACTTACCCAAGATCACACAGCTAGTGAGTGTCTGAGGCCAGATTTGAACTCATGAAGATGAGTCTTTGTGATGCCAAGTCCAGTGCTTTACCCACTGTGCCACTTGGCTACCAAGATAATCTAATATACATACAGTTTTTACTTTACATAAGTGGACTGTTCAACTGACCTCTGTGTAAAGTGATTTTTCCATAACCTGAGTTTGCTGGTGAATGTGGGGAAGGAGAAAGGGGACCACACAACTGTGGTGGGAGGAGGCCAACATATGGTTCAAGGACACGTGGGGACCAGGGGAAAAGGATGGAAAGCAAGGGCAGGGCCAGCTGCACAAAGGCCTGGCTGGAACTGAAAGGAACGTGAACACAGATAGGAGGGGATGTGTGACACACAGGGGCCAGGGGCAGACACTGGGTACCTCAGTGCACACAGTGGGGCCAGACAGGTGGGTGGAGTGAGGCAAAGGTCTCCTCTCTTGGTGCCAGAGGTCTTAAGCCAAACCACCAACAACATGGTAGCATCCATTCTTCTGTTTTCACTTAAAGGTATTTTTTAGGAAGAGTATGGGTGAGAGATTGTGGACTGCTGAGCTAAGGGGCAGGAGTGGAGAGAGAAAAGCACAGTACTGCATAGTGAAGTTAACTTAGTTTTTTTTTTTTACATAGGTTTCTTTCAGAATTCTTATGAAAAGTCAAATTTGCATAAAGCAAATTTATGTAAAGCAAAAACTGTTTGTACCTTGAAAATATTGGCCTTTTTGAGGGGAAGGGGAGAAGGGAAGATTAATGTTGGTTCAAAAATTTCCATATTGGGCAGGTAGGTGGCGAAGTGAATAGAGCACTGACCTAGAGTCAGGAAGACCTGAGTTCAAGTTCAGCCTCAGACACTTGATACTTACTAGCTGTGTGACCCTGGGCAAGTCATTTAACCCCAATTGCCTAAACAAAAGCAAAAAAAAATTTTCATATTATTTGTAATTTCAAAACACTGGAAACAACCCAATTGTCAAACAATACAAATTGCTTGTTAAATAAATTGTAGCACACTAATGAACACTATATTAAGATAAAAAAGTATAAAGAAATCTGAAAATATTTTTTTGAAGTAATGCAGAGTTAAAAAATCAGGACCAGAAGATTAACTTTCATAATTCTTACCCTCTCCTTAGTACTCCCCATCCAAAATTACCTTGTATTTATTTTGTTTTACTTTGTATACGTTTATGTATCCGTGCATGTTGTTTCCCTTAATAGAATATAAACTCCTTGAGGGCAGAGCTGTTTCATTCTTCTTTGTATCCCTAACACCTGGTACAGAATGAACACTTAATAAATGTTTGCGGATTGATGAATTGACCTATGAATATATAAGAGGAAAGATGAATGGGAATGACTAGTCAAATAATCATTTTTAAACTACTTTTTTTATTAATTTATTTTTAATTTTCAACTTTCACTTCCATAAGCTTTTGAGTTTTAAATTTTCTCCCCCCTCTCCCTGCCTCCCTCCCCAAGATGGCATGCAATGTGATATAGACTTTACATATACATTTGTATTAAAACATTTTCACATTAGTCATGTTGTAAAGAAGAATTAGAACCAATAGGAGGAACCACAAGAAAGAGGAAACAAAACAAAGCAGAAGGGGAAAAAAAAGCAAATAGTATGCTTCGATATGCATTCAAACTCCATAGTTCTTTCTCTGGATGTGGATAATATTTTCCATCATGAGACTTTTGGAGATGTCTAAGATCCTTGCATTGTTGAGAAGGGTTTAGTCTACCAAAGTTAAGTCATCGTACAACACAGCTGTTACTGTGTACAACGTTGTCCTGGTTCTGCTCACTTCACTTCAGCAGCAGTCCATACAAGGCTTTCCAGGTTTTTCTGAAGTCCGCCTGCTCATCATTTCTCATAGCACAATAGTATTCCATTACATTCATATACCACAACTTGTTTAACCATTCCCCAGTTGATGGACATCCCCTCAATTTCCAATTTTTTGCCACCACAGAAAGAGCTGCTATAAATATTTTTGTACATGTGGGTCCTTTTCCCATTTTTATGCTGTCTTTGGGTTACAGCCCTATACAGTGCTATTGCTGGGTCAAAGGATGCATAGTTTTATAGCCCTTTGGGCATAGTTCTAAATTGCTCTCCAAAATGGTTGGATCAGTTCACAACTCCACCAATAGTGGATTAATGTTTCAGTTTTCCCACATCTTCTCCAACATCATTTTCTTATTTTGTCATGTTAGCCAACCTGATGGGTGTGATGTGGTACCTCAAAGTTGTTTTGACTTGCATTTCTCTAATCAATAGTGATTTAGAGCATTTTTGCATGTGACTATAGATAGCTTTAATTTCTTCTTCTGAAAACTACCTGTTCATATCCTTTGACCATTTCTCAATTGGAGATAGTCAAATAATCTTGATAGACTCTGAAAAAATGTTTGAAAAAATGACATTTTATAATAAATAAAACAAGTAGTGGATATGACACATAGTAGATACTTAGTAAGTGTTGATTGATTGACATGATCCTATTTCTGATTTTTTTTTTCAGAATGTAGTGAAACTGATGCGGGGTCTCCTGCAATGTATGATGAGACAGGTAATTGGAGAACTAACATATATTTGTTTCTATAAGTTTTTGGAGGGGGGGAGGGGTGGGCTAGGCAGTGGGGTTAAGTGACTTGCCCAGGGTCACACAGCTTGTAAGTGTTATGTGTCTGAGTCTGGATTTAAACTCTTGTTCTCCTGACTTTAGGGCCAGTACTCTATCCGCTGTACCACCTAGCTGCCCCTGTAAGTCATTTTAGCTGGAATTTCGTATTGTTGTTATCATGGGGAGCTAAAACTTCTTGAGACACTTTGAATTTTTCTTCAGCTCTTCACAGTGCCTTTCTTAATAATTTGTTATAGAAAAGTAAAAAGTGTTTTTTACCTTTTTATGCTGTATTTTTTGTTAAAAAAAAAACCCTCACAAAACTATGCTATATTTTTGGTTAAAAGCCTCTCATAAAACTCAAATTATATCTTAGGGCAAAAAAATTCATTAATAAGTTGTTTTTGTTTTAAAATAAGAGGAAGTGTATCATTTTACTTTGGTGAAACCTTTTAAAAGTGTCATTCCCACAACAACTAAGAAAATACTGTGCCTGCTAATTGCTGTGAATATATGGAAATAATCTCTTTTAACTTGAAGTAAAATTTTTGTTATTTTAATTCAAGCCTTTGGTATATTGCTTCTACCCTGTACTGCTGTTTTAAGGTAGAGTCTCAAACAAGAAACTTTAATATTTGATAGACAGCACTTCTGAGTAAGTACTTCACATAAGGCAGTTGATTCCTGCCCCTCTATTACTTGTTTTTCAGTGTACCAGCAAATGTAATTTTCATTTCTTCAGCAAACATTTTATTAAGTATAAGACAATCTGACATACTGAGTAGACGACTGGCCTTATAGTCAGGAAGACCTGGGATGAAGTCCTACTTTTGACATACTCTAGCTGTGACCATGAGCAAGTTATTTAACTTCTTAATGCCCTAGAAAAGTTCCCAGTCTGAATCAGTGAAAAGTATTTTCATGTTAAGGCGTTGTGTGAAATCACAAGTCCGGACCACCACCCCCACTAAAGGCACTAGGATAGTTACTAACAGGGATGGAGAAAATATACAAGACCATTCCTGCCCTCAAAGAAATTAATATCTAGGTATAAAAGATATTGTTAATTGGATTCTTTTCATTTATGGATTTAGCACAAGAAACCAAAATACTTTGGACTGTATTCATAGAAAATATAATATTCAATCAGAGGCAACTATATTCTAATAGCTAGAATGCCGAGCATAGAGTCAAGAACCACTGGCTTCAGTTCCTGCGTCTGATGCTTTGTTGTTATGGGAAATTGGGCAAGTAATTTTTAACCTTGATGTGTACCTAGAAGAACTTACTAAGAACTTTTATTCATGAAAAACAGCCAGTGTTCTGTACCTATGCTAATGAAATCTTTCCCATATTCCTGTAATTACCCAGTTAGTGTTCATTTAGTCGGTCTGGATTTCGTGATATACTTGAAAAATTCTCATCAGAGGCCAAGAATAATACCTGTGATGTATTTCTCCTTCTGGGACAATTAGGTAGCACAGTAACTAGAATGCTGGGTTTGGAGTAAGGAACACATCTTCCTAAGTCACATCTGGCCTCAGACACTTAGCTGCGTGACCCTGGGCAAGTCTCTTAACCCTATTTGCCTTGGTTCCTCATTTGTAAAATGAGCTGGCGAAGGAAATGGCAGATCTCTGCCAAGGAAATGGCAGATCTCTGCCAAGGAAATGGCAGATGGAGTTACAAAGAGTTGGACAGGACTGAAACAACTGTACACCAACAATTCCTCTTTCCATGAAGTAATTCATTCAGAACAGTTTGCTTTTAAATTCAATGCCTCTGATTGGGTTTTTGAAAGTGAGTAACTTTGAGCCACACTTTATCTTTCTTAGGTGGATAAAGTTGAGAAGTTTAAGAAAACTCAGAGCACCAAGGACAGCTTGCATGCCAAATACAATACTGCCACCTGTGGCACTGTGGTTAGTGATGACCAGTGGGGACATTTACAAGTTGATGCTACTTCATTATTTTTATTGTTTCTAGCACAGATGACTGCCTCAGGTAAGTAAAACTCAAAATTATATATGCTGCCAGAAAGAACAAGTAATAAATTAACTCAATTGGGACTTGTTGAATCATAGAATCATAAAATCTTAGTCAGAAGGGAACTTCCTATCCAGTTCATAAATTCCTTCCACATTATCTCTGACATCATGTAGCTTGTGACGATTTCTGGTGACCTTTTGTTGTTGTTCAGTCATTTTCAGTCATGTTCCACTCTTTGTGACGCCATCTGGGGTTTTCTTGGCAGAGATACTAGAATGGTTTGCCATTTACGATGAGGAAACTGAGGCAAACAGGGTGAAGTGATTTGCCCAGAATCACCCAGGTAGTAAATGTCTGAGGCCAGATTTGATGAGTCTTCCTGACTACAGGCCTGGCACTATCTCCATTCTGCCACCTAGATACCCTCTGGTGACCTAGGAATTCACTAATTTGCAACCTATTCTGTTTCCAAACATTCCTCCTGTTAAACTGAAGTCTTCCACCCTTATACCATCTATCCTCTGGTTGTAGTTTTGCCAAATAGAAAGACACAGAACAAGTCAATTCCCTACTTTGTCACATCTCTTTCAGACTGAAGTTTCTCAGTTCCTTAAACTATTTCTAATATGAATCCTATCGTGGCTGCTCACATTCTTATCAAGTCTTAGATTGATTAAATCTAATCTAAAGATTGGTTTAGGTAATATAAGACTAAAGATAGTCTTAGAGGTTGGTTAAATCCAGTCTAAAGCTGAGTAGAATTCCTTTTTATTTCCCTAGTCTACTTGAGTTACAGAGGAAAGAACTCTGGGTTTGGAGTCAGAGGAGCTGGATTTAAATTCAGTCTGCTTTTGCATGATCTTGAAGAAGTCTTCTGACCTCTCTATGCTTCATCTTCCTCATATGTGAAATGAGGAGGCTACATAATAACCTGTAACCTATAGACCTTCCAGCTCCATCCTATGGTCCCTTAGCCCTTTGAGCTCCTCTATAAAGATCTCCAGGGAGGAGAGTTCTCAGGCAGCACGTTTCATTTTTGGACAACCCAGTTGGTTGGAAAATGCTTCTTTATATAGAGCTCCAATCTGCCTCTTTGCCATTTCTACCTAGTTCTGCCCATAATTTGACTAAATTTGGTCCATTTTTTTTAACCTATTTGATTGCCTTTCTCTGGACTTTCAGGTATATCAGAGATATTTTAAAAATATGGTATCCAGAACTGACTTATGATATTTTAAATAACAAGCAGTAAGTATTTATAAAGCACCTACGGTGCCTGGCACTGTGTCAGACCCTGAGATACAAATGCAAAGATTGAAACAATCCCTACCCTCAAGGAACTTACTTTGATTTAAAAAATTTTGCCTCTATTTTAAAAAATATTTCACATGCATTTATCATCTCTTCCTACCATTAACACTTCCTTCAGTTGAATAATAAATTAATAATTTTTAAAAACCCTTATAACAAATTGCATAGTCCAGCAAAACAACTTGGCACATTGGCCATGTTAAAAAATATATGTCTTGTTCTGAATTTTAAGTCCATCAAGTCACTGGCAGGGTTCATCTTTAGTTCTCTAGACTGGTGGTTTAAAATTGCATTAATGAGATTTCTAAAGTCTTTCAAAGTCTTTTCTTTATGATGTTGCTGTCATTGTATAAATAGTTCTCCTAGTTCTACTTACTTCATTTTGCATTAGTTCACAAAGATCTTATTAGATTTCTCTAAAATCATACCTTGTGGTATAATAATACTCATGACATTATATACTATGTAACATAATAACTCATATAACATAATTTAACTCTTCCCCAATAGCATCCCTTAGATTTTAGTTTTTGGCTCCTATAAAAAGAGCTACTATATATATATTTGTACATTTGGATCCTTTTCTCATTTGTTCTTTTGGAGATAAAAGCCTAATAGTAGTATAATTAAGTAAAAGGTATGCACAGTTTGGCAACTGATAGTTCCAGATTACTTTCTAGAATGGTTGGACAATTTCACAGTTCACCAACATTTCATCAATGTGCTGTTTTCCCAAGCCCTTTCAACATTTGTCATTTTCCTCTTTTGTCATCTTTGCTAGTTTGATAGGTTTAAGGTAGACCCTCAGAGTTGCTTTAATTTGCATTTGTCTACTTTTTAGGAACTTGAAGCATTTTTTATATAGTTGTTGATATCTTGTATTTCTTCTTTTGAACGTGCCTATTTGTGTCCTTTGACCATTTATCTCTTAATAGCTATTAGTCTTATAAATTTGAATCAATTTCTTATATGTATTGGATATGAAACTTTTGTCTGAAAAACTTGATATTTTCCACAATTACCTGTTTTCCTTCAGATTTTAACTGCATTAATTTGTTTGTGCAAAAACTTATAAATTTTATATGCTCAGAATTGTACATTTTATTTTCTGTGAACCTTTCTGTCTGTTATTTAGTTATAAACTCTTTCCCTATGCGTAGACCTGAAAGATTATTTCTTCCTTGTAAGGTACTTATATTCTAACAGAGGAGATAAGAAATACACATGTAGGTAACTGCAGAAAAAAATGTAAAAAGAACAAATACAAATAGATGTGCTCTGACCAACATGGAATACAAAACTCTAACCTCAGTTGTTTTTTCCTTTCACTAGGCTTACGTATTATTTTTACCCTTGATGAGGTGGCCTTCATACAGAATCTTGTTTTCTACATCGAGGCTGCATACAAAGTTGCTGTAAGTGTAAACCTTGGTGGTCTTTTCAGTTACCTCAATAGTAGGAACAAATTTAACTTGTTAATAAAGCATAAGTTGTATAACTGTGTTCTGCCTCAGGGCAGAAAATTTCTATTCTGTTTTTGTATATAGGTAGAAAAAAAATAGGAAGAAAAATACTCTCTGCTCTGTATAAAGTTCATAGAGTCATAAAAATTGGAGCTAAAAAATACATTAAAGGTCATCGAGCTTAACTTTCTCATTTTATTTTTTTCCTTTTTATTATTTACTCAAGCACCAATAAACACAATGGAAAAATGTAAAAAATGGGAATAAAAAAAGGAATCAAAACAAGAATTCTCCATGAAGTTGTGAACTTCTAATTATACTGGGGTTTTTTTTTAAGTTACATTAAATTTAACAAGACAATAACAAAATTGTCTTGTTTGTGTTATCTTCTGTATTCCTTTTTGTTTTCTTCTTCATACTTTTAAATGTTTTATTGATGTTCTTTTCTGTTTTATATATCCATCATTAATTCTTACTTCCCTTATAACAAATAAAAATTAAAGTCCTCTTTTATAGTCAAGCAAAACAAATCAAAAAACTGACTGTCTGAAAGTATGCCTATTGGATAGTACACTTTTATGAGATAAATTTGTTTCAAAATTTCCTCCCGTCCTTTTACCCCCTGCAGAGGAAACCTTCCAATTCTAACTGCATTGATTTTGTTTGCACAGAAGCTTTTAGATTTTCTGTAATCAAAATTACCTTTTTATCTCCTGTGATCCTTTCTATCCCTTATTTGATTAAATGCTCTTTCCCCATCCATAGTTGTGAAAAGTTTCCCTTTAAATGTGCCTCTAATTTGTTTATGATATGAGCTAGTATATCTAGGTCATGTACTGTTTGGGACTTATTGTGGTATTTGGTGTCAGTGTTATGCTCAGCCTAATTTTGGCCACATTGCTTTCCAACTTTCCTAGGAACCTTTGTCATATAGTGAGTTCTTTTTTCAGTAGTTGGCCTCCTCAGGTTTATTGAATACTGTGCTACTATAAATCTAATCCATTTCATTGATCAACTTTTCTGTTTTTTAACCAATAGCTTTGGTAATTACTGCTTTGTGTAGTATATTTTGAGGTTGGATACTGCTAGGCCCTTTTTCTTTCTACCCTTTAATCATTATTACCCTTAAGATACTTCACCTTTTGTTCCTCCACATGATTTTATTTTTTTCTAGTTATGTAAAAATAACCTTTTGGTAGTTTTATTTTTATAGTACTGAATCTGTAAATTAACTTAGCTAGTATTGTCATTTATCATAGTGGCACAACAGAATCTCACCAACTCTTTAGGTCTGTCATTATTTCTGTAATTATATTTGGAAGTTATGTTCATATAATTTTTGTATGTGTTTTGGTAACACATACAAGGGAAGGTTCTGTTTAAGAAGTAGTGGTTAGATCAGTAGGGTAATGCCAGATTGTAAAGGATTTTGAAAGTCAGAAAGAGGAACTTGGACTTGAGAAAATTAGATATATAATAGCTAGCATTTATATGGAACTTAGGAGTTATGGTAAATTTCAATGCAGGTGACTCTGGCAATAATATTCAGGATGAATTGTAGGTTCAAGAGACTGGAGAGGATTTTGCAGGAATCCAGTCAGGTGCTAAAGGCTTGAATTAGGGAAGTGGAAGAGATTTGAAGAAAGAAACAAGGCTTGGTGACTGTTTGGATATAAGAGGTGTAGAAGAGAGAGAAGATGACTCCAAGATTTGTAACTTTTTATTTTTAACAAATACAGACTTTGCAAAACTAGGTTTTGTTACAAATGCAAACTTGGTTTCTCTAAAAAACAAGAATTTCTTTGTAACCTTTTTCACATTTTGACATTTATCATCTTTGTCTTAAAAAAGAGGCCAATATTGACTCTTTGAAGGTGTCTGGTCCTATTCTTGCTGGACTGTCTTCATTTCATAGCTTATTCATTTAGTGATTTGGACTATTTTAAAAGAAGAATAATAATAGTTCATAGGTTCACATAACACTTTCCTCATTTACAAAGTGCTCTCTTCAAAGCAGCCATGAAGTGGGTAGAGCAAGTGTCAGTTTCTTTTTCAAGATGAGCGCACTAAAAATCTGAGAAGTTAAGTTAATTGCCCGGGGTGACACAGAGCTAGTAAGTGTCAAAGATAGGGCGTGAACTAGGTCTTATTCCCAGTCCAGTGGCCCTTCAGTTATATCTGGGCTATCACTTCTCTGTACCTTAATATTAGTACTAAATACTAGGTTTTTTTAAATAAATTCAAAGAATTAGAAAAATTAGGGTATACCATGAAGTATAGATGTAAAATTTATGACTCAGCCATCTCTCCCCAAATATGTAAACTTTTTTTTGGATTGAAAAATACTTAGCTGATTCACATTACTTATTCACAATGCAGCATGTGTGTACTGGTTTTGGCTTTGGAAGTTAAGCTATAGTTTTATTTTGCTGAACATTTCTCCAAAAACCAGAACTAAAAATAGATAGGAAATGAACTTGCTGGCTTTAGTTTTATCTGGTCATAATCCATGTATTGAAATTTCCCTTCTTTCCTGATTCTTACCCTCCATACACATTTGAATGTAACAATTTAATAGACAAAGATGAACTACAATAAATCAGATTTAGGGTCATTCGGCAAAATATTGTTTATTTGCCATTTTTTCATATGTGTATGTGTGTGTGTGTGTGTGTGTATTTTTTTTCCTGTTTGCAAACCAAGAATATCTTAACACATAACAATTACTTCCAAGAGTAAAGACTTGAGGGGTTTTTCTTTATTCATTTATCTTTGATAAAAGATTTGCCTTTTACATTTTATACAGAACTTGAATGAAATGTACTTTTTGAAGAATGTAGTATGAACATGTAAAGCTCTTTGGATATGTGATCATTAAAGAAGAAAATATTAGTATTTTGCTATAGTTAACAGTAACATGAACGAATCATGTTTTACTTTTTACTTGCCTATTCCTCCTGTGCTTTTAATTGTTGCCTTTCTTTTCTGTTCCTCTAGGATTATGGAATGTGGGAACGGGGAGATAAGACGAACCAGGGCATACCTGAACTGAATGCAAGCTCTGTAGGAATGGCCAAAGTGAGATTATTTCTATTTATTCTTTTCCTTTGTTTTGCCCACATCCCCTTGTTTTGACTCAATTCACTTTAGTGTGAGTTCTGATAATGTATTTTAAAATATTCTAAATGGCAAGTATCCATATAACTTTGTCCAGACTGAATCATGAGGGATCTGCTTTGGGGATGGTGGGAAGTGACCATCTACAGTATACAACATTGGCCCTTAGTCTTTGCAATGTTTATTTACTCATGTGTGTCAGTTCTTGAAACTGTTTGATAAAAATAATGCTCTACATTTGTGTATCTCTCTGTAGTTTTCAGAGAAGAGTGGGATACAATGGAAAGGCCATTGGCTTTGGAATTGGAACATCTGAGTTCAAATTACATTAGTTTTCTTTACTAGCAGTGTAACCCTGAGCAGGTCACTTAACCACTCTGTGCCTCAGTTTCCTCATCTGCAAAATGAGGGCATTGTACTCAATCTCTAACTTGCCTTCTTTCTATAAGTCTCTTATCCTATATGGATCTCTATTGATCTGTAAAATGATGATTTGGAGTCTAGAGTTGACTTTATCCCTGTGGGCTGTCCTTGCTCTGAATATATGACCTAGAGACAGTTTGATGTGCATCCCCTTATTCATCCTTGGAACAATACTATAAGTGAAGTGAGGCAATATTTTCCCCATCTTGCAACAGATAAGATAATGATTGCACGTTTGGACTCGGGAAGGGCTGGCGTCACAGCAAACCTGTTAGGATGCACATACAAATGTTATTACTGTTTTACATTTGAAGAACCTGAGGCTCAGAGAAGTGAACTGACTTACTTATTGTCCCAGTTAGGCAGATAGCATCATAGTTCCAGAGGGAACAGAGATGCCAAGGGCATCTAGTCTAGATCCATCAAGTAATAAGCGGTAGAGCTATGAAATAAACATAGGTCATCTGGTTTAAAATTCCCTGTTCTTTCCGCTATATCATATTATTTGTGAATATTGGAATCACAGTCAAACTCAAGTCTTCTAACTTCATGTCCACTTCCCTTTGAACTATATTATGCTATTTTTAAAGATTAGATAAGTCATGTGACTTGCCTAAGGTTATAGGACAAATAAGTGTCAGAACAAGGACTGGAACTTTGATCCTTTGATTTATAGAATAGTGTTTTTTCTACTATCTTGTGTTCTGTTTCTCAAGAAACCAGAGATATTTTCATGGCAGAGTCTTTTTGTCCTAGCTATAAAATAAGATTGAACAGTCTTCTTAGTCTGTAGGTCTCAAGTTTGGTCTTCTTCTCTGACTTTCTTAGTCCTATTTTCTGCTACCTTAGGTGGCAGGACATTTTTTTATAAAATGTAGATTTGGAAGCCATAATTTTAAAACAAATTCAGTTGAGAAAAATTCACCCAAAATGTGCCTTCTCGCCCCTCTCCAAGTTAATAAATTCAAGAAGTCTTGTGGCAGAAATTTTCCTTCAAAGATAATGTATAAGAAATGAAAGAGACTAGATATGTGAGTTTCAGTATGTGCAAACCTGTCAGATAATTCATTTATCAGATAGACAGTCTTCTTTAAAAATATATTTTGATTTCTCTTTTCTATGCTGTGAACTGCAAAATATGATAAAATATTGTTTTGTGAAAACAAAGCAAGCATGCATTTACAGGAGTATCAAGTAGGATTTATAAATACTTCTTAGTTTTTCCTGGGGGAAAAATGTTTTTGTAAAATGCATTAGTGCACGAAATAGGGGGGGAAATAACCCTTAGACCTGTGCTTATAGGCAGCATTGGAAGCGATCGATGAATTAGATCTGTTTGGAGCCCATGGAGGACGGAAGTCAGTGATTCACGTCCTTGCTGATGAGGTGGAGCATTGCCAGGTAAGATTGCACTGTACTAGCATTTGGAATATGTTGTGATGAAGTATCCCCTTCTTCATGTGGTGCCTGAGGGCACCTCCAGCTGCAGAATGTCATGTTCCTGTGAAATGGCTAGGCCCAGGGTCAAAGTATTCTCTGGTCCATACGCCCTAAAAACATAGCTGCTATTGATTGCACTTTCAGTAGCCAGAGGACATAGTTAGTTCAAAGCAAAGATAATTAATAAAATGTCCTAGTAAGAAAAAAAAAACTTCTCCCACAAACCTTGGGTGCACATAAATACACACAACACTAGTCAGAATATAGTGGACACAATATAGAAATCGGTTTTGGCCATGGCAGAGCTGCTATCTTGTAATGTTCTCACACTGACTTCCCTTTGCCTGCTTCCCTCTGGTTTTGTATTCTTAGCTAATGGACACTTCTCTGCTGGACACGTAGTTTGTGCCTCATACTTCTTGGCTATAATCTCCAGTGCCTGCAGCTTCTAACACAGCTGAAATCTCTGCCCATCTCTTCCTCTAGGAAACATATGTTGCATTCTTCTTAACTTAAAGCCCTTTAGCCTTTTAACCCCCCCCCTTTTTTTTTAAAAACTTTTATAGACCTTCACAACCTGACTTCAAACTCATTTTACATAATTTCCCTTCCTGTACTCTGTGTAGTTCAGGTAAATGAACCTTCTTCTGTTCTTCACACTGGATGTTCCCCATGCCTGGAGAACCTTACTGGACTTAATTTTGCCTGTTGGAAACCCTGGTTACTTTCTAGGCTCAGCTCTAGTCTATTAGTGCCTTCTCCTCCAAAATTACATTTTTATATGTTTTGTATATACTTTTATATGTATGTATTGTCTCCTGTCCCCCACCCACCCTTATTCCCCAAGTGCTTGGTGGAGGGGAGGCCTGTTTCATTTTTCTTTTATTTCTAGCACCTAGGACAGGTTGCGTGTCACATAGTAGACACTTAATAGAAACTTGACTGGATGGTTGGTTGACTTTTTTTTAGGCTTTCTCCGGAAAAGGCAGAATCTTTGCCTAGGAAACAGAAAAAAAATTGTCTCCTACATTTTCTTGTCTTGTTCCTTGAGGATCTCAGCTGCTTATCATCATCATCATCATCATCATTATTATTATTATTATTATTATAAGTGGTACAGCTAGGATGTGAACCTAGGTCATCTGATTAAAAAAATCAGTGTTAGACTGCAGAGCGAGGTTCTTCCTGGTGGTCTATGTTTTGTACTCTTCTTCTTGGTCCAGGGACCTAGCTTATGGTGAGTGTTGTATATGTCTTTCAATATTTTTATCTTTGAAAACTAGACTATTAACTAGGTCATTATTTTTTAACTAGTAACCACCAAAATGCCCTGGGATTCTAGGTTTACCCATTTTCAAACACTAACTCTTTTCCATTCTCCCATGTAAAAAAAGTAGATGGGGAAAAGACACAGAACAAATTGCCAAGCCTAAAGAGCTAGGTTTGTCTCCTATACCTCTTTATTCTCATTCTTAGCCCTCTTATGTACAGATATAAGCAGTCCTAAAGCCTCTGAGGGGCTTTTTTTACAGTCAAAATAGTGACGTATACATCCTTCAGTGCCCGTACTTCTTGCTATCAACTTACCTTACCAGCATGTGAAAGTCAGAGGAGGATTTGGGGGTAGAACTGTTTGACCTACAGCAAAACAAAGAAAGGATAGAGGAGTAGAATTTAGGGGATGTTCAGGGAAAGTGCTGGTTTGATTTCGGTTGAAGTGCTGTTTAGAGGAGAAAACAAGACTTCTATCTAAGGAGAGGCAATTAAATAAAAGACTTGCATTGGGAGAAATGTTTTCAAAGTAAAGGAGCGTATAGTGAATAATTGCTGGGATGAATTATGGGAGAAAAAAATATTACTTGGTTCCAGTTACTTGGTAACAGTTTTTTGGGGTTGAAACTGAGGACTTGTAATTGATTCCCAGTAAGAAATAACTGAATAGCCCCAAGGACTAGGATTGAGTAAAGCATGCGACCTAATAATAACTTAATCTGTGTAGCATTTTACAGTTTTCAAAAGAATACCATATACATGCTCTCATTCTGTTCATCATAACTCTATAAGGCGTGATGAAGAAGTATTATTTCTTTTTCTTATATAAAAGGTTGGATCAGGGAATGTTGGGAGAATGGAAGAAAAAGGAGAGCACATATAAGCAGGTTATTTATCTACTTGCCCTCGTTTCCTTCAAGCAATTCTCAAATGGCAATTGATACTTTAGACCTGTGGTTCAGAATTGTCAAACTGTTGATTATAGTCCTCCTTCCCAAACTTCTCCTTGCAGCCCCAACCCTTTCTTTTTATTTCAAACTGAACAATAGAGATATCTTCTCTGAAAAGTATCTATCCTCCTGAGTCTAACAGCCAGTCATCAAGAGTTCCCAGGGCAGCTAGGTGGCATAGTAGATAGAGCTCTGGCCTTGGAGTCAGGAGGACCTGAGTTCAAATCCAGCCTCAGACACTAGAAACTTACTGCTGTGTGATCCTGGGCAAGTCACTTAACCCCAATTGCCTCATCAGAAAAAAAAAAAAAAAGAGTTCCCTGTGTCTAATCAACACGATAAGTGGGCATGTCTACACTTCATGTAGCAGTGCTCATCTGATGATCAGGGTCTCCTTCCTTGATCAACCCCAGTAACGCTGAAAAGGAATATGAGGATTAGGGAAATTAAGTGACTTGATCAAATCTCTACCACTAATGAGTAGCAGAACTAGAACTAGAATTCATGATCCTTGACTCCTCTCTTTTCTCTGCATTGAATTCGAGCCATTGATGAAAGAGGTTCAAACTAGATAAGCCAGACCTTTGTGGTAAGCCATATTAGATGGTATTATGTTTGTAATAATAATAACAGGCATTTATATACTGTTGTAATATATTATTTCATTTGCACCTCAAAACCATCTGGTAAAGTAGGTGATACATGTATTGTCCTCATTTAATAGATGAAGAAAGAGGCTCTGATAACTTAGTCCATGCTCATTTAAATATTGTCAGTAGCAGGATTTAAACCCAGGTTTTCCTGACTCTGAGTTCAGCACTCTGACCACTACAATATGCCACCTATGTACTTGTGTGAAGTTTGTACCCACACTAACCAGCCCTTAGGTTTTTTCAGGTAAGAAAAGAGATATGTGAGAGGGTCAAGTGAGAGAGATAGATCTATCTATCTATCTATCTATCTATCTATCTATCTATCTATCTGTCTCACTTACCCTTGACCTTCTTACATATCCTATACTCTTTTTTTTTTTAATAGACAGTTGGGGTTAAGTGACTTGCCCAGGGTCACACAGCTAGTAAGTGTCAAGTGTTTGGTCTGAGGCTGGATTTGAACTTAGGTCTTCTCGACTTCAGGACTGGTGCTCTATCCACTGTGACACTTAGCTGCCCCATATACTCTTAAGATTTAGAAAGAAGTCACTTCTCCCCATATCCTCCTGCCCATATCCTTAAGTGACTTGGAATCAGGAAACTTTAGCTTATATCCTGCCTGTGGCACATAACCTATGTAACCATGAGCAGGTTAACTAACTTTTTTCTGCTTTAGTTTCCTGTGGGGATAATAATGGCAACTATCTCCCAGGGTTGTCATGAGGATAAAATGAGATATTTACATAGCACTATGCAAACCTTAAAGCCTCTGTATAAATATTAGCTATTATTTTTATTACTATTATTCTTAGTCTGAATCCCTCATTCTACAGATGAATGTACTGATGGCCTGAGGAGGTCATGTGACTGTCTAAGTTCACACAGGTAATAAGTAATCTTCCTTGTACAACGTAGGACCGGAGGGTCATATAGACTACCAGAGTTAGAACGGCCCTCCGATGCCTATTACAAAACACTTGACAAGTGCTCATCCAGCCTCTGCCTGAAGACCACTAGTGGGGGGGGGGGGGTTGGAGATAGCTCTAATTACTGGGGTTTTTTTTTTCCTATGCATCAAAATTAAATTTGCCTTTTTGTTGTTTCCACTCATGTGTTTGTACCTCCATCTTTTTGGAGCTAAGCAGAACAAGTTTAATCCCTATTCCACATGATAACCCTTCAACTCTTGAAGACAGTCAGTCAGTCAAACAACATTTATTAAGTTTCTGCATTGTGCCAGACACTGTTGGTGCTGGGCATATAAATATGAAGAGTTAAATAATCCCTATTCTCGAGCCTACATTTTAACAGGATAGACAAGTACACATGTAAGTATATACAGAATACATTGAAAGATAATAAATCTTAGTTAAATACAAGGTAGTTAGGAAGAGAGTACACTAGAGCTTGGAGACTGGGGTTGGGGCAGAATGGAGGGTGAAGAGTATCAAGAAAGGTTTCATGTCAAAGGTTGTTCTAGAAGGAAGAGAGGGAGTCTGTTGGGCCAAGGTGAATTCCAAGAATATCTTTCCTAAGTTTTCTCAGGGCTAATTGCCCTCATTTCCTTCAAGCAGTCCTCGAATGACAACTGATACTTTAGACCTGTGGTTCAGAATTGTCTTTCTGTTGGCTGTAATCCTGCTTCCCAAACTTCTGTTCGCAACCCCAACCTTTTCTTTTTATTTCAAACTGAACAAATCGAAGCTAATTCTTGGCTCGGACTTATTTTATAATGCTTCCAGTAATGAGTGAGCTATTTCTAGTCTGGAATTAATTCAGCATTCCAGCTATTGCATTTGACTCTTGTATCAAGTAGTTTTCTCAGGGAATTTGTCCAATTGGACATGTTCCGCAAACTCTTAGGATTCCAACACATTAACACCATAGATATGTTCTTTTCTGATCTTTGTTGCCTATTTTCCTCATCAGGAAGCAACCCAGGCATTTACATACAGTAAACAAATACATACAGGAAGCCCTGTTGTCCCTTCCTGTATGCCTCATCAGGGTCTGTGGAGAGGATATAAGGAAGAAGGGAGTAGAATGGTTATTAACATAGCCGTTAAGCTATTTTAGCTTCTCCCAGCTTCTCTCATACCACACCTACCCTAACTATTAGTGAAAAGCTGGTGAACTACTTCATGAAGTGTCTGATTATAAGATCACAGATTTAGATCTAGAATAGACTTCAGAAGTCTTACCCTCTCAGTGGAAGCTGAGGCCCAGAGAAAAGTGACTTCCTCAGTGTAGTAAGCAGTAGAGCTAGGCACTGACCCTACCCCACCCCAAGTTCTCTGACTCCAAATCTGGTGGTCTTTCAAATGAGTGCTTTGATCAAATGAGATAACAAATGTAAAGTACTTTGAAAGCTTTAAAGTGTGATTTAGTTTCTAGTTATAATTGTTATAATTATTAATAATAATTTCCAGTGAACCACACTGAAATCCAGTAAGCTGCACTTTTTCAGAGACTGACAGAACGTTTATAACTGAAAAGATTTGAGGGGTCATTTACTCCAGTCCTCCCATTTAACTAATGAGGAAACTGAGTCCCAAAGAGGTGAAATGATTTGTCCAGGGTTATACAAGCTAGTTAATAATGGAATCCAGAGTCAAACCCAGGTCTCTTGGCTTCCAGTCTGGTGTGCTTTCTACTATACCACAATTTATGAGTTCAGTTTGTTACTTATTTATGGATATCATCACTTATAATTGGTACTTCTTTGGGTAAAACTTTTTTTGGGGTTACTTTTATATAGTCAATTCTGTTGTCAATGCTGCCAAGGGCATCCACATCTAAAGAGATTGATGCTGGACTTCTTTCCATCATTTCTTACCCTGCATTTGCAGTGGAAGATGTGAGCATTGTGAATGAGACCAAAAATGAAATCATTGCCAAACTCCAGGTAAGATTTTGTTAAATTTATGCCTTTCCGCTCCATAATAAATTGAAACTGTTATGTCTCTTTAAACTATTGCCTTTCACTCTTGAGTGTGGATTTTTGTTTTGTTTGTTTTTGCTATGTGGAAAGTGGATCAGTTTACTCACCATTGGAACACAGCTACCTCTGAGGTGAAGTACAGTGGTGGGCAGATATCACACAGCATGGTACACCAATCTGAGGATGCTACCAAAAGTTATAGCCAATTGGAAATCCCAGGGAGACTCACAAAATTGCACCATTTTTATCCACTATAGATTTATGGTACATAACCTCAGTTGGATTATCACTGCTGCTTTTGTTAATCTTTTTACTCTATTTTTATTGAGGTTAGCTTAATCTGCATTGACTCTTCCAAACTTTTTTTTCTCTACTCAAACCCCTAACCTCAAGTTCACTCATCCTCATGTTTGTAGGCAGATGATTTCTTTCTTTGTTTTTGTGATTGAGGCCATCAAGCCTAAAGCTCCTTCAGCCCCCCCCCCCCATTCTCAAAAACACCTTTGTATCATCCCAATGTGGCTAGAAAATGGAGTGTGCAAAGTTGAATAAAATAAAATAAGTCTGGAAGAGTAAGAATGAGCCAGATTGTGAGTAGCCTTAAATGTCAGACAAAGGAATTTGTATTTATCCTAGAGGGACTGCGGAGTCAGTGAGGATTTTTTAGCACAATAGTGACATACTCTGAACTATCCCTTGGGAAGAAAATTTTGGTAACTTTGTGTCAGATGGATTAGTGATGAGAGTCTGGAAGCTTTGAGTTCAGTTAGGGGTCTATTAACAGATAATCCAGGGGAGAGATGTTGCAGGCCTCAACTATACTGGTAGCTGTGTGAATAGAAAAGGGGAATTATTTAAGAGATTTTGTTGAGATAGAACTGATAAGACTTGAGATAAGTGAATAGATAACATGAGATGAAGAAAAGGGAAGTGCCAAACTATAAAATATATATAATATAATATATATATATTTTATATTTTGTGTCATTTCCCCCTACTTAGACTGTTAGCTTTACCAGAACAGGAGCCCAGTCCAAATCTAAAGCATGTTCCCAAGTACCTACTACAGATAGACATGGATAAATGTTTGCTAAATTAAATTTGCAGTGAAAAAATGGGGTTCTCAAACTGAAATGTGGCTTTTGGCCATCCCACCTTGCCTCTCTGAAAAATACTTTTTTGATTCTTAGAGAGCCATGTTTACTTAGGGTTTTCACATCTGAACAAGAAAAGAGTATATTCAGATGTTCAACCTTAGCATAAATTATTGTATGGTTTGGTAAATTGGAGGAGAGGGTGGCCTTATCTACCAGAAATCCCCTCACAGATAGTGACCAAGCCTGAATTTACTTTGCTATTATATCACATAAAAAAGTGACCTTCACCTAATTGAAGGTCACTTGGAACATCTCTCATCCTGAGGATAGTCAAATGAATGTAGATGGGAGGAGGCTGACATGAAAGAAAATTTATAGGACAAATGAATTTGGGTCTAGGAAACTTAAAACGTCTTGCTGACAAGAATACATTTTATTTGTTTTAAAGGTTTTATTAATGCCTTTTATTCTCAAAGTCACTTCGCCACCTAATAAACCTTACATTAGTCAGTAAACATTTATTAAGCACTGGGGATAGAAATACAAAAAAGACAGACCCTGCCCTTAAAGAGTTTGCAGTGTAATGGGAGAAGACAACATGTAAAAGAAAAACAAGGTGGGGAGGTGAAATGGTTGGGGCATGCTGAAGTCAGAGAAACCTCAAAAGTAGTGAAGCCAGGTGGGGAATGAGGAAATGTCTGATCTGAACTCCCTCCTTGAATGGAGTTTTGAAGTTTATGGCTCTGCCCTCTGATCAGAGGGGCAGAGATGAGTAGTGATGAGATGTGAATACCAAGACTGATAGGATCTTGTGGAATTATGAGGTTTCTAGGGCATGGTGGAGAAGTTAGTTATGCTAAAAATTAAAATATATAAAACATTATATAATAAAGACAATTATTAAACCAGGTCAACACACTGAGTGTGACAGTGTGTATACACAATAATCTACACTCGTAGTCATCAACTTCTCTACTGAAAAGAATGTTTCATTATTCTTTTTTAAATTAAATTTTATTTTTTATTATAAACTTAATAATCATTAACAAACACAAACATTCCAATATGTAAAAAAGAAAAACAACTTTGAAGGATCTCATAATTCTCATCAGAAGACCTATGATGAAAACACACTTGAGATGCACAATGAGAGGTGTTGCATCATCTCTTGGGGACAAAGATGGGGTATTATAATGATTCCAAGTTTGGCGTTTCCTTTTCATTGTCATTTATTCGTATGTCTTCTTTTCTCCACCAGGGACGTTATGGATGTTGCCGATTTCTTCGAGATGGCTATAAAACCCCAAGAGAGGTTGTATTTCAAAAGTATTTGACAAGACATATTTAAGGATTCAAATCCACTTCACCACAATTTTGTGCTGAGTTCATTTAACTGTTTTGTGACAGAAGCATTTGTTGAGAGTTGTGTCACTTTTGAAGTCAACTAGTGTGGGGTTATTCATTAGAATATGAAAACTAAGCAAATAGCAAGCTGAGAGTTGAGATCTATCTTGTAGAGAAATACAGACAATACACCAGGAAAGAATTTTTTCTTTCCTTTTTTTGGGGGAGTTGGGTAGGGGGAGAACATGGAACGAGCTAAATCATAGATGTAAAGCTGGAAGGGATCTTAGAGACCCCTGGAGTCCAGGACCCTCATTTTATGCATGAGAAAAGAGGCACAGAGAAGTTACATAATTTGTCTAACGTCACACAACTAGTGAGAGTTTTGAGGTGGGATTGAACCTAGGATTTCCTGACCCCAGGTCAATGCCCTAAATACTATACAAGCTGCCTCTTTTAGCTATTTTACCAGTTCAACCAGCATAAAAAAATTGAACATTTTTACTCCAGCGCTGTTAGATACAGTGAGATATTTGTCAGGACACATAACAAAGAAGGGGTATTCAGTTCTTATCTAATTTTCTATTGAGTACTACACAAAAAATTGAGTTTCCTATGTCTCTATTATAGTAGAATCTTCATTGCATGAGCATGTGAATTGTGATAATAGGTTATTTCTTGGAAGTCCAGCATGGTAACTGTCTAAATGCAAGTCATTTTACATGTTTACATGTGTGTATATGTGATCCATATATATATATAAGAATACATATGAGAGGCAGCATGGCACAGAGGACTGTCTTTAGAGTCGGCAAAGTGTAAGTCCTACTCTAACACACTATGACCAAGTGCAGATCATTTAGTTTCTCACTGCCCTAGGCAACTTTCTAAGATGGAGATTCTTATTTGTGCCATGGGCCATTTTGGTAGTCTGATGAAGTCTATGGACCTCTTCTCAGAATAACATTTTTAAAAGCATAAAATAAAATGCTTAAGATTGCGGAGAGAGCCAATTATATTGAAATAGTTGTGATCTTTTTTTAAACCAAGTCTATGGACCCCAGATTAAGAACAAGATACAGAGAAGTTGTCATTCTCCAGTGATGGAGGGAAGTTTTGTCCTAGGAGTTCCCCATACTGATGAAACCACATGTCTGGAGCCTCTGAAGCCTTGTATCACTTCCCCTTTTCCAAAGAAAAAAGCCCCAGCATCACATACATTACTTAGAGAGCTAGAAGCCTCCTTCTAGATCATCAGTCCAACTCCCTTATTTTATTTTATGAAGAAACTTGGGTCTAAATAGAGCGTGAATTGTCCAAACTCCTGAGTAGTAGTAGTATAGCTAGGGTTCAAACTCAAATCCTGAGTACACTGTTCTTTCCACTATACTACCTCCTACCTCCCCCCACCTCACTTCCCCCCCCCAAAAAAACCACACACATAAGCATATACCCTAAGCCCTAGAAAGAACCTCAAAGTCTATCCTGTTCAGCCTGTCCTTGAACAGCATTCCCAGCAAGTGACTGTCCAGTCTTATGTTGACTTTACCCCTAGCAAAATGAATATAGTCAAAAATATGTGGACATGCATAACCTAGAAAGACTATCGCTGTATTTAATTTCCAGGACCCAAATCGACTGCATTATGATCCTGCTGAACTCAAGCTCTTTGAAAACATAGAATGTGAGTGGCCAGTGTTCTGGACATATTTCATAATAGATGGTGTATTCAGTGGTGATGCAGTACAGGTAATAATAACTAGCATTTATATAGTGCTTCATGGTTATATGTATCATTCATTCATCAGACCTTAAGTGTGTAGTAGGAGCAAAACAGCATCAGGCACAGAAGGAGGTAACTTGTTTGGTTCTCCCAGAAACTCTCTTAGGGAGGAGACTGCAGAACTAGAAATTGTGACCCAGAGGCCGTGCTACCTTTCCCCCTACTACTAGTGGGGCATTGTTATTAGTCATTTTCGTCATGTGATGAACTAATTATTTATTGTTCAGTCCTGAGATTAGTCATTATTTTATCTTCCCTACCAGTGCCATATTATCTCCTTCCTCCAAATCCCTAAGTGTTGATTCTAAATGCATGATTTTGAATGTCACATAGAACTTTGTAATACTTTATTTACAGGTGCTATTTTTAAATTCAATCTCCACATTCATGTCAACATATTTCCTTCAACACAACCTATCACAGTAAAATCACAAAAAGTGCTCTGAAATTTCCCATGCAAAATTTTTGTGCTTTCCACTAAAATAAATTGTCTTGACTGGTTAACTTTTAAAATAATTTTCCTGTATGAGTGATGAATGTTAGTGCTTTTTAGAAGAGCACCAGGTGATGTTGCTGTATCTCGTGCCTTCTGCCATTTCTGCTCTCCTCCTTTCCCCTCCTTGCTTCCACCAGACTGTATGTTCTTGGGTGGGATAAATAATATGTTGTCTTATTCTTGAATGCTGTCACTGCTCAGGAATGTGGTTCCACTGCTGCCAGTGGGTCTGAAATTTAAAATTTTTATCTTCCAAGAGAATCACCATGCCATCTCTATTTCTTTTGAATTTTGATTCTTGTTCTTGTGTTCTAGTGATCATTTTGGCCTGTATATTTCTCCTTTGTTTATCCCAGAACTGAAGGATCCTAAAGGGTTTTGGTTTTGATTTCCAGTTTTAGGCTCACCAAACAATTTTCAAAAAATGAAAAGATGGAAAGCTATAAAACATTCTGTATTTTTAAAATAGATTTTAATGATAACTTTTGTTTTTATATCATTTATATTTCTCATTGTATTCCTCCCTTGCCTCCTCGAGAGATCTATCTCATATAATAAAGAAGAAAAAAGAGGAAAAGAAAAAGAAGTTCAGCGAAACTAACCTTTCCCCCCTCTTTTGTGTGTGTGTTTATATTGAAAAACCTCAAAGCCTCAAAAAATGCTGTGGTTATATGCACCATTCCGCACCCATGGCCCTCCATTTCTGCAAAGAGGCAGGGGAAGGGATGGAAGGGGGATTTCTTCTCATTTCTCCTTTAGGGCCAAACTTGGTCATTATACTTTTGCAACATTCAGTTTCTGTTATTTTGTTGTTGTTTTCATTTATACTGTTGTCATTGTGGATATTGTTTTCCTGGTTCTGCTTACTTTGTCCCCATTCATCCAAGACTTCCCATGCTTCTCTGTATTCATCATATCTGTTGCATCTTACAGTACAGTAATATTCAGTTACATCCATTTACCATTTAGCCATTCCTCAGTCCATAGATATCTACTGTGTTCTTTGCTTGCACTAGAAATACTTGTTTTTTATGGGGTCTTTCTTGAGAATGTGTGTCTAGCAATGGAACCTCTGAGTCAAAAGTGTTGGAAATTTTAGTCACTTTCTTAGCATAATTCCAAATTGTTTTCCAGAATGTTTGGACCAACTCACATCTGCCAATAATACATTAGTATGCCTGACACTCTATGTATTTCTAATTAGGTCATAAATCATAAAACACGCAATACCCTTCCTTCCTTCCCATCCCAGTAGTGCAATAGATCAGGTTACCAGGACCTTTCTACAAGTGACCGTTTGATAATTAGAATTTTTTTAAACAAATAAAATCTTGCCTGTTCCCACCCCACCCCCGATAGGACAATGAAATGAAATGCTTGGCTGACAGACAAAACTGGCCTCTCTACAGAAGGAATTTTGTTTGAGTGACCACGTGGCTGCTTAAAAAAATTTTTTTCTACCTCTTTTGTTTAAGTTTTTCAGTCTGTAACTCTTATTTTCCTTTGTAATGACTGCCACATTTTTTTTTTATCTCCTCTCAGTATGCTAAATATTGTACCGTGGAAATTACTTTAGCTGGGTGATATGATGCTGATTTTTTTTTTCATATCAAATCAATAAATATATTTTGGAGCACCTGCTTTATTCAAGGTATATAGTAATGCCTAGTAGATACCATTAAGAAGAGAATTATAAGAGATTACTCTTGTCCTAAAGGAACTTAAAATCATGTTGGGGAGAAAAAATAGCCATGTGAGACATTAAATAGCAATACAAGATTTAAATAATAGCTCAAGACAACCCTGCAATGTCTCACACATTATTAATTATAAAAAGAATTGATCATGATATCCCTGACCAGCTTGGTGAACTTGAAGTACTTGAGCCTTTGTCTAAGTCAGAAAAAATATTCCCAATGGAGAGAGTGGGCTTGCCTTACTGAGAGAACATGAATATCTCAAGATAAGTTTTCAGGACTGGGGCTTTGCCCAGTAGGCAAGGACATGTCTGCTTCTGCATTGTGCTTTTGCAGGAACTGTTATTTTACCAACTGCTGCTATCTCTTGGAGTAGGAACCCTGGTTCTAGAGGCAGAAAACTTAGGTTCAGATACTGTTTCTGATACTACTTATGTGACCCTAGTCAAATGATCTAACCTACCTGAAACTAAGTTTCTAATCTTAAAATTAGAGGTATACTCAATGGCACTTCCCTCTCTGAACACCACCTATCTCTAGATTTGTGATCCTATGCGTTCAAGCTACCGACAGGTAATTCCTCCAGCTAGAATCTATGCTCTGTAGTCCTCACTAAAAACCATCTGTGGTCTGGGTTCTCTCAGGGCACAGATGGGCATGCCCGTACTCTCCATGAGATAGCACTTTTCCTAACCCCAAAGGCTCGCATCATATAAACCAACCACATTGTTCAGGCACCCCTCCAAACATACATCCCTTAAACCACTACTGGCATTCAGACAAGGGAACTGGGTTGATCAGGTCACTTGCCCTGAAATTCTGTGATTTCTGTAATTGGATATGAGCTGCTTTTCTTGGCCAAGTGGAGGATCATCAATCCCTTCTCCAACACTGTGACCTTATATACCTAGTACATTCCCAACCTCCCACTCTTACATCCTTTGAGATGAGAACATTGGTGTCAAGTTCTTGGTCATGTATTTTAGTTATAACTTATTGTTAGGTCTAATAATAATAATAATAATAGCTGTCAATACTTTATAAATCCATTTACATACCTTCTTCATTGATCTTCACCGCAACCCAGTAGTATATAGTACAAAATGTTGTTATTCACATTTTATAGATAAGGAAATTCAAGCATAGAGATGTTAATTGACTTGCCTACACTCACGATTTGTAAGTAAGAAAGTTAGAATTATAGTCCAGAGTGTCTGACTCCAAATCCAGGACTTTCTGTCTCCCTGTTCCCCTTTGTCTCATTAAGCTGTTTTGATAAATTAATAGTATGCAATTCATGTGATGGTGACTATATGGCATTACATTTAAATTTTAAAAGCACAAATATGAGTGGTAATGTTTGTTTTTTTTTTTTTTTTTTTCACTTCTGTATGGGAATGGCGTCAACTTTTAGGTCCAAGAGTACCGAGAGGCCTTGGAGGTAATATTAATTAGAGGCAAGAATGGAATACATCTAATGCCAGAACTATATGCCATTCCTGCTGGCAAGGTACAGTTGATCTTGGAGAATCTGAGCTTTTCTTGTCATCTCTTTGATGTTTGTCAATTGTTGAATCATCTGTTTTTAATTTCTTTCCTCCTTTCTTGACCTAAGACATCCTTTTCTCTCAGAGGAAATTATTTCCAACACCTTTTGATAGCTTCACCAGATGATTAAGATATCTATAACTTTTGCTCAGGAAAACAGTGACCTTGGGTAGGATTGTCATAGCATGTTTGATGTTTGGCACAAATACTTTCTTGAAAAAATCAGATATGTTCAGGTTAAAGTGGGAGAACCTTCAGTACTCACCTAAATTTTACTGCTGCTTCTTAGTAGCTTTCACCAAAAATATCGCAGTCTGTTGTTTGACATTTTAAAAGATATTCATGGAAAATTATTCTTAACCTCCCTAAATATGTCTATGACTTCCTTAGGACTTTTCTTTGACCCTAACATTTTCTCTTAGCTGTTTTTGAAACTTGAATTTAAACGATCAATTAGAAGTCACTTTGGGTGAGATTAACTTATCCAATTCCAAGAACATTCCTTTTTTTTTTTTTTTTTTTTTTTTGGCTAGGCAGTGGGGTTAAGTGACTTGCCAAGGTCACACAGCTAGTAAGTGTTATGTATCTGAGTCCAGATTTGAATTAGGGTCCTCCTGACTCCAGGGCCAGTGTTCTGTCCACTGCACCACCTAGCTGCCCCCTAAGAACATTCCTTAAGAAAATTTTGCTTTCTGTCCCAGATTTTGATGTGGCTAAGATACAAAATTGATGGTGGGGGAAAAGAGTGAATAGAATGCATAATTTGAGGGGAAGGTAATTTGTAATTTTTTTAAATAATTAAAATGTAAATAAAATGCCTTAAATGATTTTCCCACAAAAGTATGATAAATTCATTTCTGTTGGTGGAAATGTATGATGTAAACCATATAAATAAAAAGGTGAAAAAGAGGTGTTTTATCTGTAAAACTGAAGTATTTCAGAAGCTATGAACAACGTGAGAGGCCAAGTTGAGTTTTAAGATAGGAATAGGAAGATAGAGACTAAATCTGTGATTTCATTGGCATAGGAAATTACTAGCTATGGAAACTCCCTCTCAGTCCAGGTTAGTGCCTTCTCTGCAACTTATATATAACGAATCTGATTATTCTATAGATCAGATTGTGTCCCCATGTAATCATAAACATAAAATTTTATTAGTCACTGCTGATGTTTTTATGGCCGCAGAATCACAAAATTTGAGAGTTGGAAGATATGTCAATGGCTGTGCATCAAAGGAATCTTCACTATAACTACCTGACAAGTGGTTTACCAGACACTGCTTACAGATGTCCCAGGAGGGAGTAGGGTCCTATAGGAAAGGCAGACATAAGAATTGTCAGAGGATTCAAAGGATGTAGCATGCCATTAACAGAAAAAGGAAGGTAGAAAGGAGGGAAGGGTGGAACTGGTTTAGTGTCAATGTACTGGAAGCTCAGAATTAGTCTGCAGCACTTTTTGGCAGCCAAAAAGGCTAATATTGGTCTTAGTTTCATTGAGAGAGAAGAATTGCATCCAGAACACAAGAGATGATAGTTATTCTGTATTCCCTACCAAACAAATCAGATTATTGTTTTCAATTATAGGTGCCATGTTTAAGAAATGGTAGTAATAAACTGGAGAACAATGAGGATAGTGAAGGGAAAGAAGACCTTGCCAAATACCAGTTGAAGATACTAGAAATGTTTAACTTGGTAGAAGAGAAGATTTGCAGGTGCAGAGTGGGGAATATTATAACCATCTCTAAGTATTGGAAGGGCCAGCGTACGGGAGAGGAGTTAGACCTTATCGTGCTTTGCTCCAGAAGGAAAAAAAGTAAGCAATGGGTGGAAGTTGTAGAAAGGTAGATTTTGGCCTTGTCAGTAAAGTTTCCATCTGTTATGTGTAGTGAAGGCTATCCAAAAGTGAATGGGTTGTCTGGGGGAGGTACTGTGTTTCTATGTCACTGGAAGACTTCAAACTAAGACCTAGAGGCCACTGTTTGAATATGTCAAAGAAGAGATTCCTATTTTGGTAGGCCTCTGAGGTCCTTTCTAATTCTGAGAGCAATGATTAGATAGATTATCTTTCCCTTGTTTGTTTTTCCAGATTACAGTAGTTTTCTCTTAGTAAATAGCACCACCTTGTGGTTATTTGATCAAAAGTGGATATTTTGGAATGCAGTTTTGGGTAATATGACTACTGGCAATATTATAGGCTTACCATGCTTAACCTACAGAGTTTAGATTTGAGGATCATGGTTTAATCCCTGACAAATCCAAATCTGTGTTATGATGAGCTATTCTAAAACAGTGTTTGACTGTGTAGTACTAAGAAGTCATGTGGCAGGTCCTTAACTGTTGAATTGAGGACCATTGTATGGCATAAAGAACATTTGATTTAGAATCATTATACCTGAGCTCTATAAAATGAGCAAGTTGAATTATGTGATCTCTGAGGTACATTAATTCTAGTTCTTGTGACTGACAGATAAGAGACACAAAGAACAGAGGCCAGGATTCCTATTCTTTATTTTTCTATTTATGCAAATGTGTACATACAGGCATATACTACCCATGAGAAATAGAATCATTAAAACATAGGACCTTTTAGATATGATCTAATTCAATTCCTCCATTTTATAGATGAGAAAACTGAGGCCAAGTGAGATTAAGTGATATGTTCAAGAGCATGTAGCTAGTTAGTGGCAGAATCAGGAGTACCAGCACCCGAGTTGCCTGCTTCCCAGGGCCAGGCTACACTTACCTGTTTTAAGTTAGATTGACCCATTTTATGACTTCTGTGAATTTATTTCTCCAGGTAGATGAAGAGTACAAGAATCCTCACACCGTAGATAGAGTTCCACTTGGGAAGATACCTCATTTGTGGGGCCAGTCTTTGTATATCCTCAGTTCCCTGTTGGCAGAGGTAAGAGCTTTTGTGTTTTAACAAACTGGAATATAACTACTTTTGAGGTTTAGTAAGCTCACAAAACTGAGGCACCCTTTTTTTAGTTTCCTAGGAGTTATTTTACTCTGTTTATGTCTTTAGAAATCTGTTGGTTTTTGTTACTTCTGTAGAACTGACAGCTGTTACATTTAGCCTAAAGCTTAGAGGAATGAGGTTGAGGCAAATAAATGATTGCTCTCCAGGACACTTTGCCATTCAAGACCTGAATCTCTCCTTCTTCAGCAATCAGTCTTTTCTGCTTGGCTTTTTATCTGTTTGTTGCACAGACAAGCAGGTACTAACGTGACCTGGATTTTTGATGTATGTTTGTTCACCTCCCAACTCACCTCTTCCATGTGAGAACCTCTCAGTGGTTTCCCTGATCACTGGCACTGGCCATGCCTGAGCCAGGATGTAATAAGATTGTCTTATTCTAGCTGCTGGCCAAACTACAAGCCTCAGTGGCAGCTTGAAGAACTATGGCAACAGTGTCGGGCCTGGCAATGTTGGAAGCTGAGGAAGACCATACACTCAGCTCCAGATGTCACTTGGAGTCCCTGGGCAGAGGCCCTAGCAAGTCATCTCTGACACAAAGTCCAATGACTTTGTGTCAAAATTGTCAAAAATTGGACAAATACAGAATGCCTCGCTGTGAAAGGGACTTTACAGAATATTCATAGCCTGCATTCATGCTTGGTTATGCTGTTTGGGTTTTCCAGTGCCTCTGCATTTTTTTTTTCCAGAAGTTGATGAATCTGCTTCTTCAGGGTCTGCTGGACCAGGGGCTGATGTTTTCTCTCAATAACATCCCTGTTAGCAGGGACCTATATATGCTACAGTAGGGGATGCCAATATCTATGAAAGACCAATGGGAGTTCTGTGGCCTCATGGGATGCTACTGTTACTTCCTTTCTGGGTTCTCTGTACTAATAGTACAACTCAGTTCTCCCTCCCTCTTTCTCTCTCTCACTCTCTCTCTCTCTCTCTCTGAGGCAATTGGGGTTAAGTGACTTGCCCAGAGTCACACAGCTAGTGAGTATTATGTGTTTGAGGCTGGATTTGAACCAAGGTCCTCCTGACTCCAGGGCCAGTGCTCTATCCACTGCGCCACCTAGCTACACCTTCACTTACCTCTTGAAGTACCCCTTGCTTTTCAGTATACACCAGAGGTGACAGGTACATTTGATGACTCAAAGAACTAGTTTATCTTCATTTCTGTGTGTCTCAATCTGCAGGAAGACTTCTACTTCCAATATCACCATAAGTGCCACTGTTTTACAGACTATTCCACCTTCTTCCAAGCTCTTGCTCTGCCCGTAATTCTCCCACAAGTTGATGGATGTAGAAGAGGACTAGATACTTTGAGAGAAGAAGTAATCCATAGCCAAAGTTCCATTTGAAGCATAAAAGCAGTAGGGATACCTCATCATGGTCCATGTTGACCATAAAAATCTAGAATGTCTTCATTATTCCCAGTAGCTTAATCGGTGCCACGTATACTAGATAAGTTTTTAATTGGTTTCACCTTATTTATTGCCTACATTCCTGACTATTGAAATTTGTGGGCAAATGTACTATCATGACATACTAGGTAATTAGGTGGTGCATTGGAGAGAGAGTTAGATTTGGAGTCAGAATGACCCAAATTCATATCTTGCCCTCAGACATTTTCTATATTTGTGATCCTGGGCAAGTAACAACTTTGCCTCAGCCTCAGTTTCCTCATCTGTAAAATAGAAATAATAATAGTCCTTACTTGATATGGTTGTGGTAAAGGTAGATTTGCAAACTTTAAAGTACTGAAGAAGTGCTACCTGCTATTATTATAAAAACCAACTTTTGAGCATCCAGAGAATCATTCATTCTGCCAAGCATTTCAATCAGTCAAACACAAGCATTTATTAAGCCCCTCCTATGTCTAGGGCAGTGTGCTTGGCATTAGGGAGGCACAGACAACCAATGAAACAATCCCTGTTCATAAGAATTCTACATTCTAAAGGAAGAGCCAAGTGCATGTGCATGTATATAAAGAGAATAAATACAGATAACACAAAAAGGGAGGACTTAGAAGTTGAAGAAAGATGAGGAAAAGCTTCATGTAGAAGGTGGTGCTTGAGCTGCACCTCAGGGGAAGATGGGAAATCCATGAGATAGAGAAGACATTCCAGGCATGGGAAATGGCCATTGTAAAGGCACAGAGATGGGAAACGGAAGGTCATGCGCGATAAAAAGAGGACTGTTTGTCCGGATATATAAGGGGTAGTGATGTATGTCCAGTGGCATGAGAAAAATAGGTTGGGGCCAGTTTATAAAGGGTTTTAAAAGCTAATAGAGGAGTTTGTATTTTATCCTAGGGGCATCTCAGGCAATAAGGAATCAATAGAGTTTGTTGAGTAGGAAAGCACCATGGCCAGATCGGGGCTTAGAGAAAATTACTTTGGCAGTAATATGCCAGATGGATTTGGGAAGGAAGAGACTTAAGGCAGCAATAACAATAATCTAGGTAAGAGGCCTGCTTAGTTCAGGTGGTGGCTGAGTAGAGTGGTCAAAAGAGAGAGGTGTTACGGAGGTATAAATAGCAAGATTTGGCAACTGATTGGATGTGTGAGATGAGAGAGCATGAGGAATGAAAGATGACTGAGAGATTAGAAGAATGGTAGTGTCAATAACAGAAATAGAAGAAAGATAATGAATTCTGTTTTGGATTTGTTGAGTTTGAGATGTCTCTGAGACATCCAGTTCAAAATCTTCAATAGATACTTGTTGATGTGGGATGAAATCTCAGGAGAAACTGAGTTAGTCATCTATATAAAGATGTTAATTCAATCCATTAGAGTTCATGAGCTCACAAAGAGAAAGTATAGAGAGAAGAGGAGGCCCAAGTGTGTCCTTGAGCAAGTCTCCTAACCTTTTTGTGCCTCAGTCTTCTCATCTGTAAAATGAGGAGGTTGAACTCAGTGCCCTCTAAGTTTTTCATCTATGTATCTTATGATCTGTGATGGTATAAAAAGCAAGAGAGAAGAGAGTAAATCCAGGTGAAGAGTATGGTCAACCGTGTCAAATGCAGCGATAATTTAAGAAGAATGAGAACTGAGAAAAGATCATCATATTTATAAATTAAGAGATCATTGGTAACTTTGGAGAAAGCAATTTCAATTGAGTAATGATGTCAGAAGCCAGTTCTTTTTAGAACTGAGTGAGTGAGAGAGCAAAGGAATTGGAGGCAACGAGTGTAGACAGTTTTTTTCTAATAACTTGAGAAAGGGAGAGATATTAGATGATGACTTCGATGACTTGAGCGAGTAGTAGGGTCTAGTGAAGACTTCAGGAATGTAGATACTCAAATATGTTTGTACTGAAGGCAACAGAGAAGGAACCAGCAGGTAGATAGTGGTTGGAGATTAAAAAGAGAGAAGTGATGACTGAGATTGCAATCTACTGGAGAAAACTGGAAAGTATATTGTAGAACAGGTGACCTTGGCAAGGAGAAAGATGAGGGGAAGGAGATAATGGGCAATGATATCAAGAGGTTTTGTGATTAAGAGAAGGGGAGAAAAGGGAATTTATGGCAAATAACTTCAATTTTCTCAGTAAAGCAAGAGGTAAAGTCTTCCACTAGGAAAGAGAGGAATGACTTGAGCGACTTGCAGAGAGAAGATTTTGTGGGAGAGCTTTTGGGAGGAAAAAGATAGAGAATCAATTGGGGGAATAAAGGACTGCCTTGTTGCAATGAGGGCCCATTTGAAGTTGGATAACATGAATTTGTAATGTAATCAGCATGGCTGTGTGATTTCTTCCAGCCTTGTTCAGCAATGTATACATAGGAGCAGAGGGGTAGGTGGTAGAAAGTATTATGGAACTATAAGATTTTGCCAAGGATGGATTCCATAGACAAAAAAAAAAAGACTGAAAGATTCAAGAGTAAAGGACTATAGGGTTAAGTTGACTAATTGTAGTATTGAGATTTAAAAGGGAGGAAAGTGAAGTCAGAGATGAATTAATAGCCTTAGATTGTACTGAGGGGTGGAGGGATTGTAAGTAACAATGAAGGCGAAGAAAAGTTTGGGAGGGATGAGGCATAGGGAGAGTTGGAATGATAGAAAGTTATTATCAAGTTATTGAATGTCAGAATTTTTGATAAAGGAAATAGAACTCTTGTGGATCATGTAAGATAAAGTATATGACTGAATTCATCTCTGTAGCTGAAGTTGTGAAGAAGTTTAAGGTGACTTAAGCATTGGTAGGTTAGACTAAGCTTTACAGTCAGTAAACAAAACCATAGTCAATTACTGGGACTAGTCTGCCAGCAGCAGGCTCTGTGTACAAGCTGGGTACCAACTGCTATTATTGCAAGGAGCAAATGCTCCTTGAGCATAGACATCTGGCTGTCCCCTTTGAACATCTGAATCAGCGAACTTTCCTGGAATCTGACATAAAGAATAGCTAATAGTCATATTAACCCACCCTAATTCATATTAACCACATATTCCATGGTTTTTCTTATGTGGGACTCCCCTTGACCCTAAACTCTATACTCTTAGTTTGCCACTATTTCTTGTGTGTGGATAGGAGGAAGAATACATTGTTCAAGATATCCATGACTCATTGAGGTGATAAGTATTTGTTGGATTGGCATCACAATGGAACTCAGAGGAGGCCATGGGAGCCAGTGTACAGTGTACATACGCTAGAATTCAGAAGGGGCCTACTAGCAAAGCAACCCCAATAACTCATTATCTGAAGGTCCGAGGAGAAGCCTTGAGAGGTGGTATGTGACTCAGTCTGGAGGACAGGCTGAGTCAGGAGGCTTAGCAGATTGTGCTGGCAAGTGAGTGTCAGACAGAGGGGCTAACAGTACAACCAGCCACACTAAAAAAGACTAGTGCTTTAGAGAATCAAGGTGAACCAGACAAAAAAGTTAACTCCTTGGTATTCCCTGCATTTTGCCTTCCTGACAGTTTTTTAAGAAAGGAATTCAAGGGAACAGCCAGGTGGCACAGTAGATAGAGCTCTGGCCTTGGAGTCGGGAGGACCTAAGTTCAAATCCAGCCTCAGAGACTTGACACTTACTAGCTGTGTGACCCTGGGCAAGTCAGTTAACCCCATTGCCTCATTCCCCTCCCCCCCCAAAAAGAAAGAAATTCAAGTTTTTTTAAAAAATCACTAATAATTAGAGAAATGCAAATTAAAGCAACTTTGAGGTTTCTTCTCAAACCCGCCAAATTGGCCAAGTTGCTTTTAAAAAAATAGGAAAATGAAAGTGTTGGAAGGACTGTGAGAAACAGGCACATTAATGCACTATTGGTGGAGCTGTGAATTGGTCCAGGCATTCTGGAAAGCAGTTTGAATTTCTGCTCAAAAAATCACTTTGTGTATACCCTGTGATTCAACAATAACACTGGTAGACCCATACCCCAAAGACATCAAAGAAAAAAAAAAGGACCCATAGGTTAAAAAAAATTATATCAGGTCTTTTTGTAGTGGCAAAGAACTGGAAAGTAAACCTGTGCCCATCAGTTGGGGAATGGCCAAACACATTGTGGTATATGAATATAATGGATTACAATTGTGCTGTAAGAAATTATGACTGGGACAATTTCAGAGAAACCTGGGAAGACTTGTATGAATTGATGCAGAGTGAAGTGAGCAGAACCAAGAGAACAATTCATACAAAAACAACAACAATGTAAAGAGAAAACAACTTGGAAAGACTTAAGGCCTCTAATCAGTACAGTGACCTATTGTGACCAATCAATGGATTGACGAGGAAAGGCTGCCCACCTCCTGACAGAGGCCATGGACTCAGAATGCAGAATGAGGCATGTGTTTTTGAACATGGCCAATTCAGGAATTTGTTTGCTTGATTCTGCTTATTTGTTACAAGAGCTGTGTTGTTTTAAAATCACTGGGGGAGGTGGGACAGCATTTTGATTTCCTGATCTAGTGTGGACTTCTTGACAGTGAATACTTGCTCCTGTACCTTGTCTTCCTGTGCCTCTTTTAGTCCCTTGGATTTTACTGTTTCGTAGATACTCAGATACAAGTAGTAACAAACAGTTGATCTTTTGACTCGGTGTGGCTCTCCAAAACTTCACTCTTAACTTAACAGTTTGTTAAATTACTTGTCAAGTCAGCTCTGCCTCAGGTAGGAGAGTATAATTTTAATCTGTTGATATCTTTTTGGCTCTTGATTCTGTCATTCAACATGTTGGTTATCCTTCCTAACTTTTGTATTGTCTGTAAACTTGGTATGCAGATCATCTGAGCTTTTATCAAACGGATTTACAAAAGTGTTGAACAGAACAGAGCCTAACATAGATATGTGTAGTATTCCACTTGTGGATAAAATTGTTAGTGTCCCAAACAAACCAGAATGAAACCCCCAAAACCATAAACCAAACCCTATACCAAAAATTTCAGAACCAATGAGGATTTATTGAGTTCATTAGCAAGGGAGACTCACTCTCCAAGGGAGCAAAAGGAGAAAACTTATATAGGTTTCAATTTAGGCAGGAGGTGAATTGGGTATGAGGTACCTTAGTATTGGACACGGCTGTTGCTAGGGGCCTGTTGCTGTTGTTCAGTTGTGTCTGACTCTTCATGACCCAATTTGGGATTTTCTTGGCAAAGATACTAGAATGGTTTGCCATTTCCTTCTCCAGCTCATATTACAGATGAGGAATTGAGGCAAATAGGGTTAAGTGTGGATCACACAGCTAGTGTCTGAAGCCAGACTTGAATGCAGGAAGAGACATCTTCCTGACTCCAGACCTGGTACGCTATCCACTGTGCCACCTAACTGCCCTGCTAAGGGCTTGCAGAGTAGGAATTGAGATTGTGGTATCATTTGAATAACAGAAAAAGCTTTCCTTCAGGTTAGCTATCTCTTGTAAACCCTCCCTAATAGCAGCAGTAAGGTCACAGACAGGATGGGGGTTGTAATACAAACAGGGTCAAGGGCAAGATAGACGAATTGCAGACAAAATGTGTTGCTTTAGCTTTCTCTGCTACCCACAATTCCTCCTTTCAAGACTATTGATAGTCTCACATCTTTTTTTTTATCCTTTTTATCTATTTAAACAACATCATCCACTGAAATGAGTAAATAAAAGTGATAATAAATGAAAATGATGGTAATATTGCTAAGCATTGTTGAATAAGCAAAGCAAAGAGATATGAAGTGGTGAAGAATGAGAGGACTGACACTAAATTGCTTAAGTCAATCAACAAGCATTAAATAGGTAGCTACTATTTGTCTGTCAGTCATTGTACTAGGGACTTGAGATACAGACAAAAAAACATAAGAGGCAGACTCTGCCCTCAAAGTGCTTTCATTCTCTGGAGGAAAAAATGTACATGTTTAAGTAGGTACAAAGTAAAGGTAATGTAGGGACAGGGCTGTGAAGAAGAAACCCTGGCTGCTGAAGAAATCAGACAGGGCTCCTGTGGGAAGGAGCTTTGGTCTGAGTTTTGAAGGAGGCCAGGGATTCTAAGGAGTCCAAATGGACTCCCCTTGATTCCTAATGACTTACATTTCTGTAGTGGATTGTTGCAATGGAAGAAGTACTCTTAAATATGCCATACTTAAAAAAAATATATGCCATACTACATATTTTGAGATTACAAACATTTATATTTCTAAACCTGAGGTTTGGGATGAGATTTTGGTTAGACACCATGTTTATGGTAGTAATAAAAAAATTAACCATATTTTTTGTCTCTTCTGTTAGGGATTCCTAGCCACTGGGGAAATTGATCCCTTAAATAGAAGATTTTCAACAGCAGTCAAACCTGATGTTGTAGTACAAGGTTTGTAGTTGTACTGTCTATTTACATTTAACTTTTAATAACCACTGTTACTTTAATTTCTGTTTCTTTGCTTTTCACTTAATGAAATCGCATATATACTTTCTTACACATTAGTAACACCTGTTTGATGCCATAATTAGCATCTTCCAAAAGCAGGAAAAAAATTTTGTAGCAAATAATATGTTTAAATATTCTAGTGAATCAGTGCTCTCATTGATGTGGATATTCCTTAAAACTCCTCAGATTATAATTCATTCCTGCCTGTCCATTTTCTGTGTTTTTTGTTCATGACCTCCCTAATAATAAAGTTTCATTAAATCAATTATTTTCTGAAATCTAAATCATTAGCATGGCCTTATAAGATTTACCCTGAATAGCATAATGTTTGGTGCACACATGACCTAATGAATACAATTTCTTGTAGCAGTTAACCATTGAAAAATACAAATTAGTTGTAGTGAGAAATCAGAATGAAATTGATCTTTTTATCCATTACATTTATCTACATTTCCAGTCTAAACTGTGCGGAACTCACATCTCTGGCTGCTTACTGGATATTTTCACCTGAATGTTTTACCGGCAACTCATAGACATGTCTAAAACAGACTTTTCATCTTGCCCCTCAAATCAGCTCTACCATCATTCTGTTACTCATCCCCTTTTGAATCTTCCATACCACCTTTGACTCTTTCTCCACATCTAACCCAGTACCAGTTTTACTAATTCTACTTCCATTTCTCTTTCTATCCCCAATGTTACTACCACTTTAGTTCAAGCTTCCTGTCTTTCCTCAACTATAGCAATAGCCTTTGAATTGGTTTCCTGCCCCTTATCTCTTCTGTTGCTCTTACATCCATACACACAACCTGTGGATTAATCTTCTTAAAGCACAGCTCTGTTCACATTACTCCCTACCTTAACAACCATCAGTGGCTCCTCATTTCCCATAGGCTAAAGTACAAATTTAATCCTAGCATTTAAACCTTTTATAAATAGGCCCCTGCCTATCTTTCTAGCCTACTCTCTCTCTCTCTTTTAATATTTTATTTTATTTTTTTCAATTACATGTAAAAACAATTTTTTATATTCCTTTTTTAAAATTTTGAGTTCCAAATACTCAAAACATTTCCATATTAGTCATGTTGTAAAAGAAAACACAGACAAAAAATCCCATGAAAAATAAAGTTTAAAAAAAATATGCTTTCATACGCATTCAGACTCCATCAGTTTTTTCTCTGGAGATGGATAGGATTTGTCATCATAAGTCCTTCAGAACTGTTTCGAATCATTGCATTGCTGAGGATAGCTAAGTCATTGACAGTTGATCATCATACAGTATTGTTGTTACTATATACAATATTCTCCTGGTTCTGCTCACTTCACTTTGCATCATTTCACCTAAGTCTTCCCAGGCTTTTCTGAAACCATCCTGTTTGTCATTTCTTATAACACAATAGTATTCCATTACAGTCATATACATCAGTTTGTTCAGTCATTCCCCAGTTGATGGGCATCGCCTAAATTTCCAATCTTTTGTCACCATGAAAAGAACTACTATAAATATTTTTGTACATATGGATCCTTTTTGAAAAAAATCTCTTTGGGATACAGACCCAGTAGTGTTAGTGGTATTTCTGGGTCAAACATTGTGTGCAGTTTTATAGCCCTTTGGACTAAATAGTTCCAAATTTCTCTCCAGAATGGATGGAGCAGTTCACAACTCCGTCAACATTGCATTAGTGTCTCAGTTTTCCTATGTCCCCTCCAACATTTGTCATTTTCCTTTTCTGTCATATTAGCCTATCTAATAGGTATGAGGTGGCACTTCATGGTTGTATTAATATGCATTTTTCTAATCAATAACAATTTAGAGCATTTTTTCACGTGACTATAAATAGCTTTGATTTCTTCTTCTGAAAACTGCCTATTCATATCTTTTGACTTTCAATTGGGAAATGACTTGTATTCTTAAAAATTTGAGGGCAGCTAGATGGCACAGTGGATAGAGCTCCAGCCTTGGAGTCAGGAGGACCTGAGTTCAAATCTGGCCTCAGACACTTGACATTTACTAGCTATGTGACCCTGGGCAAGTCACTTAACTCCATTGCTTCACCAAAAATGCAAAAAAAAAAAAAAAAAAAATTACAGGTCCTGACAAAAAGTAAAAAAAATTTTAAAAACCAACAATGTATGTAGATAGATAAATAGATGGATAGATAGATGAATAGATAGAGGACACAGGGTGAGTTAAAGATGAAGGGGTGATATTTGGAGAATAAAATTATGGGGTGAGAGAGGATTATACTGGGAGAAGGAGAAAGGGAGAGGTACAATGGGGTAAATTATCTCACATAAAACAGACAAGGAAAGGCTTTTATAGTGGAGAGGAAGTGGGAGAAGGTGAGAGGGAATGAGTGAATCTTACTCTCATCAGATTTAGCTTAAGGAGGGAATACCATACACACTCAATTGGGTATGGAAATCTATCTTATCCTACAGGAAAATGGGGGGGAAGGGGATAAGAGAGCAGGGGGATGATAGAGGGGAGGGCAGATTGGGGGAGGGGGTAATCAGAAGCAAACACTTCTGAGGAGGTACAGGGTCAAAAGGGAATAGAATAAACAGGGAGTTGGTTAGGATGAAGGGAAATACAGTTAGTTTTCCACAGCATGACTACCATGGAAGTGTTTTGCATGACTACACATGTATAATCTATATCGAGTTGCTTGCCTTCTCAATGAGGGTGGGTGGGGAGGGAGGAAAGGAGAAAATTTAGAATCCAAAGTTTTAAAAAATTTGAATTAGTTCTCTATATATTTGAGAAGTGAGGCCTTTACCAGAGAAACTTGCTGCAAAATTTTTCCCCAGTTTTCTGCTTTCCTTCTAATCTTGACTGCATTGGGTATTTTGTGTAAAAATCTGTTAATTTAATGTAATCAAAATTATCCATTTTATGTTCTGTAATGCTCTCTAGCAAGTCTTAGACATGTCTAAAACAGACTTTTCATCTTGCCCCTCATTCTTTCCTTATCTGTAGATCTGACAGGTAAACTGTTCCATGCTCCCCTAATTTGCTTATAGTATCACCCTTTATGTCTAACTCATGTAATTCACTCTACTATCTGCTTCCATTTTATGAATGTTCATCCCATTCATATTTACAGTTTATTCACTAATTGCATATTTCCCTCCATCCTACTTTTTTCTTATATATCCTTCCCTCTCTCTCTCTCTCTCTTTTCATTCCCTCCTCAAAAGTGTTTTGCTTCTGACCACCAGTTCACCCTCCCTTCTATTGACCTCCCTTCTATTATCTTGCCCTTCTATTATCCCTTTTGCCTCCTACTTCCCTGTAGGGTAAGACAGAATTCTATACCCAACTGAATGTATATTATTCCCTCTTTGATGATATTCAGATGAGAGTAAGATTCAAGCGTTGTCTGGCAGACCACCCCACCCCCATCTTCCCTTGCACTATGAAAACTTTGTCTATGTATACTCGTTCTAACTGCCCTAATAATGATAAAGTTTTTACAAGTTACAAATATTATGTTCCCATGTAGGAATGTAAATAGTTTAAACTTATTGAATCCCTTATGATTTCTCTTCCCTGTTTACCTTTTTATGCTTCTCTTGAGTCTTGTATTTGAATGTCAAATTTTTTATCCAGCTCTGGTCTTTTCATCAGGAATGCTTTAGTCTTTTTCATTAAAAATCCATTTTTCCCTCTGAAGGATGATGCTCAGTTTTGCTGGGTAGATGATTATTGATTATAATTGTAGCTCTTTAACCCTCAGGAATATCCTATTCCAAGTCCTCTGATACTTTAATGTAGAAGCTGCTAAGTCTTGTGTGATACTGACTGTGGCTCCACGATGTTTGAATTACTTCTTTCTGGCTTCTTGTAGTATTTTTTCCTTGATCCAGAAGCTCTGGAATTTGGCTACAATGTTCCTAGGAGTTTTCATTTTGGGATCTCTTTTAGGAAGTAATTAATGGATTCTTTCAATTTCTATTTCACTTTCTGGTTCTAGGATATTGGGGCAGTTTTCTTTGTGGTTTCTTGAAATATGTCTAGGCTATTTTTTTGATCATGGCATTCAGGTGGTCCAATAGTTCTTAAATTATCTCTCCTTGATCTTTTTTCTTGGTCAGTTTTTCCAGGGAGATATTTCACATTTTCTTCCTCCTTTTTTTCATTCTTTTGGCTTTGTTTGATTGTTTCTTGATATCTCATGGAGTCATTTGCTTCCACTTGCCCAATTCTGAGTTTTAAGGAATTATTTTCCTCATTGAGTTTTTGTACCTCCTTTTCCATTTGACCAATTCTGCTTTATAAGAGTACTTCTCTTCAGTGGATTTTTGTGCCTCTTTTACCATGTGGCCAATTCTGTTTTTTAAGGTAATTTTTATGTGCCACCTAAACCAAGCTGTTGACTCATTTTTCATTATTTTCTTGCATCACTCTCATTTCTTTTCCCAGTTTTTCCTCTACTTCTCTTATTTGATTTTTAAAATCCTTTTGGAGCTCTTCCAGGAATTCTTTTGGGGCTTACCTCCAATTCACATTTTTTCTTTGAGGCTTTGCATGTAGTTGTTTTGACTTCATTGTCTTCTGAGTTTTTCTTACTCTTTCCTTTCTCTGTAGTAACTTTCTATGGTCAGGTTCTTTTTTGTTATTTGATCATTTTTCCCAGCCTGTTTCTTGACTTTTAACCTCATATTAGAGTTGGGCTCTGTCCCAAGCTTCAGGTTTTTTGTGTTGCTGTTTTTAGAGCTAGTTCTGGCAGTCTGTAGGTTTTCAATTCTTCCAAGGTGGTATGATCTAAGGAGAGGTATGGTTACTGCTCTCCTGGCCTGTGCTCTGGTCTGTGAGCAACTGCAAGCATTCTTTTCCACCCTGAAACTGTGTCCAGGGTTCTTGCTCCTGCAGTGCTCCTCTTCCTCATCCTGGGACCTGGAGCCACATAGGGCCAATGCAACAAAGTCCTGCTCCCAATGCCAGCAAAGGATCTCCTGTAACCTCCTTCTTACCAATTGTGTGACCCCCTTACAATCTGTAGGCTGAGAGGTCTGAAAGAAATTCTGTTATCCCCAAGGCCTGCTGTTGGCTTAACTGTCACTGGACTGTGCTTCACTGTTACCTCCTGTGAGATAGACCTTTCCTGTCAGCTTTGTCTTGGGCTAGAAAATTGTTTTACCCCATCCTTTTGTTGGTTTTGCCTTTCCAGAATTCATTTTCAGGTATTATTTTAACATTGTCCGGTTGGGAATTTGGGGAGCTCAGACAAGTCCCTGCCTTTACTCTGCCATTTTGCCTCTGTCCCTTGCTATTACTATCTATACATTAGCTGTGACCTAATTGGACTATATGCTATTTTTCAAAAATGCCTGGTGCTTTACCATCTCTGTGCCTTTACTCATGCCATTCCCTCTACTTTCTCCTTCCATCTCTACCCCTTGAAAGCCTTCCAAAGTTCAACTCAAATGGCTAACTCCTCTTTGAAGCCTAATCATCCCAGGCAGAAGAAACCTCTCCCTTCACTTTACTACTCTAGCATTTTGTACCAGTCACAAGATGTATATGCAAAGTTATATTGCAGAAAATTCTGTGCTTGGTTTATATTCTTAAATAGAATATAAGTTCCTTGAGATCCAAGATCATGCTTTATTTTTTTTATCTCTTAGACATTCATATGATCAATGTTGAATAAAATGCTTATCGATTGAATGAAAATAGCCCCATTTGAATCCTAAGTATGCTATTGTATACAGAAGAAGAGTTGTGATGATAATTTTTGACAAAGAGCAGTGAAAGATATGTGACTGATGCAAATGAAAAACTGATCATCCAAATCCATGCTCTGTCCTCTGTTGTTGTTTTTTCTTTTCCCAGTCACCGTTTTAGCAGAATCAAATAAAATTAAGGAGTTGCTAAGAAAGCACGGATTCAGTGTGCAGAGCATTGCTGACATCCATCCCATCCGAGTACAGCCAGCCCGAATTCTTAGCCATATATATGCCAAGCTTGGTAGGTTTGTAAAGCTGCTATACATTGTTTTGATGAAAAGCTTTTATCAGTTTGATTTCCAAAGGTGTCTGTTGTATAAGTACAAAGAAATAGAGGCATGGTTTAACAGATCTCACTGTGAAGTTTGTAAAAGTGGTTATGAGAAAATACCCATGATTTTTCCACTGAGGCTAGTGTTAATCTGATTTCCCGAAAGGTATTTATCACTGCCTAGATTTCCTGAAAGGTATTTATCACTGCCTAGATAAACATATCACTTCCTAGATCTATTTCCAAACAATTTAATAAGCTCCATATTGAAAATTACAACTAATTACCTGGAGATGAGGGTGGAGCAGGGCAGACCTGTCATTTCATTGGTATAGAGAACTGCTGGTGAAACTCCTTCTACCAGTACAACTGGGCATCTGCTCTGCAATTTATAATCTTAGAAAATTGTCTGGAAGTACTTGGAAGTTAATGACTTGACCAGAGTCACCTAATGTGGATATGGATAATTTTTTTTTTTTTAGTATTATCAGAAAATATCTATTTCTTAATGAGAAAAAGGGAAGGGACTGCCACTATTCACATAGTTTTAAAAGAGATTAACATTGGATTGTAATCCCAGATGTTCTGTCTGAAACTTAATTAGAAATAAAAACTAATACAAGCCTTTATTATTTTCCTTTCAAATATATGAATTTGAACAAAAAGTGATGTATGTATCCAAAGAAGGTTTTGTTTTTGAAAGTTATGGAAGTCAAGAGTTTTGGTTTCTTAACTCTATTACCTTTTTTCCCCCCAAAAAAGCTCCTTAGATTGGTCACAATCACATTTCACTTAGCTTGGTTCTTGCCTTTGTGTTTAGGACGGAATAAGAACATGAAACTAAGTGGGCGACCATATAGACATATTGGTGTTCTTGGAACCTCCAAACTCTATGTGATTAGGAGTCAAATATTTACTTTTACCCCTCAGGTAAGGACAATAAGCCAGCAACAGACAATTTTATTTACTTTTGTTTGGAAAATAGGTGCTTAATAAATACTTGATTGATTGTTGAACTCTTTTGTACAATAACGTGTCTGTGTTCAGTGTAGCAGACTTGTTTAAAATATAGAAAACCAGATAAGGAAAGATACTTAATGCACATTCTAATTCATATTCTCTCTCTCCTTTCTTTCCTTTCATTCTTTCTCCCTCTCTCCCTCCTTTGATTTCTCTCTCTCTCTGTCATATAAAATTTCTAAAATATGCTTCATTAAATGTATATATACCTTAAATTGCAAGAACTATAGCTTTAATATCCCATAAAAGATAAAAATCTTCATGTATAAACCACGACTACCTTCATTTACTTTTTGCATGTCACAAAGCAGTTGTGATTTGCAAATTACAGTCCCCCTCTCCCTTAATATAGCTTAATTTTTGAAGTAACATGATCAACTGACATAATGTTTGTGAAGTCTTGTAAATTGTGAAAAGCGTTACATAATTTCCAGCTATTTATTTAAAGGAGAAATATATTTAAATTATCTTTAAAGAAGACAAATAGTCCATTGGAAATGAAGATTAGGTATTTTGGAGGAAGGACAGAGCCACCTATCCATCCACTTAGGAGAATAGAAAAGAAAAAAAATTAGTTATTAAAAGTGCAGTTCTTGATGATCTGTACACAATAATGAATGTCTTTATTCCCTGAGTCATTTTTTTAAACTTGGCACACAGCAGTTTTTCCTCAGAAGACTGTTCACTTAACCTAGTGTCTTTTGATTTTTTTCCCCTATTACTTTAAATATAGCTCCAAGTGCATAAGATTTTTGCATCTAAGAGAACAGTTTGGCTTTCATTGACTTATGAAACGTTATTCCACATTCACATTATTTCCCCTCAGGTGAGGACAGTAAGCCAGCAACAATCTTATTTCCTTTTGTTTGGAAAATAGGTGCTTAATTAACTCTTGCTTGATTGATTGTTAAACTCTCAAAAATCCACATTATTTCACATTCTAGTAATTCACATTACTAGAAATCAAAAAGTGAAATTTTGAATTTCTCACTCTTTTGTTGCTACTTGTCATTTTGATATACTCTCTGGACCTAGCAACCCTGGAAGAAGTAAAAATTAGGTATTGATTTCTTTTTAGAGACTTATTGGGAAAGGAACTTAAACACCCTTCTGAAATGCTGAAAATATAGGAGTGTTCCTTTCCTTTTAGAGTCCACATCAAAATAGTAGCCTCTTAACAGTGTAATTTGTCTTAAAGCAGTAAGGGGGAGGAAAATTGCAAGAAGCTCTTTTCATTAAAAAAATTACTTATTGATTCAAATTGTGATTTTGTCAAAAGAAATGAAACTCAGCTTTGTACATAGTGTGTCTTCTGATCCACAGTTTACTGATCAGCACCACTTCTACTTGGCCCTAGACAATGAGATGATTGTGGAGATGCTTCGGATTGAATTGGCTTACCTTTGTTCCCGATGGAGAATGACGGGAAGACCTACTCTCACTTTCCCTATCACTCACACAATGCTCAGTAATTCTTACTACTTTTATGTACATTAAAAAAATGAACAGCTGATTTTGTTCGCTTTCAAAGTGACTGTCAATAACAGTCATGTATTTTACCTGCTTATTGGTAACATGTAACTTTTTAGACTTGGAATACTTTTTATATTTAAATCAGACTATATTCTAGAAAATTAATTTAAGATATTTTTAAAGGCTTATAAGAATTTGTTCCTGTGGCAGGCAAGTAACACCTTTTTTTCCCCTTAGCAAATGATGGCTCAGATATTGATTCAGCAGTGCTTGCCACAATTAGGAAACTGGAGGATGGATATTTTGGAGGAGCAAGGTAACTCATGATTTGCCAAACACTATTGGGTTTTCTGTTTTTCTTTTGCTTTCCTTTCCTTAATGTGTTCGTAGGATATGTTAATAATAGTAGTAGTAAGTAATCAAAGTAATAATAAAAAATATTTCCCTACCTTTTGCTGTCCTTTTCTCATTTGTTTGTAGGACATATGTTCAGGGACATAATAATCTCTGAACAGTTAATAGTGAAGCTGCTAAAAGTTAACATGCTTATGATGTAGCATAGGGGATAGATAAAAAAGTGGCCATAGTACCTGAGGTTGGTTTTAGGGTCATCGTGGTAGAGGTCAGTCCAGATTTCTTGTCATCATCAATGGTAGAGGTACAAATATATAGACATTAGATTGCCCTGCCTTCATATCAGCTTCTAACTCTGCCACCATTGAAAAAACTACCAGAACTCTCAACTCTAATGTCATTATAAGGCCAGGAAGGATTTTTTTCCTACTAGAGATCTGGTTCTTCTCTCTACTGATGAGGTTGTAATTGCGTTGTTTACCTTTTAGATGGAGGCATAGGGAATGTGTTTGACATTTGCCTTCCTTTTATAAGCTTGGATTTTCAAAGTTAGTGTTACAGAAACAGTCCATTTCTCCCTAGACCCTTTACCTATTTGTTTATTATTTAAGATTTATACTGTACTTCTAAAGAGGAATTGAGTATATACAATCACTTACAAAATGAGGCAGTTAGTGAATTAATGCTTGGATTAAGGCTCTGAAGCCTAAACAGTTATATTTCCTTAGCTGTGGAAAACAGTGCATATTCCTATATGTATAGGAATATAGTACATATTCCTAGTCTGTTATACAATCTTAGTGATTGATATATATTAGACACTTTCTTCCAGAGAGTATATCTCATTTAAATATTAACAGTTAAAAGCTAATATAACATTTTCTCTTCAGTCTTGAGTATAAAAAATTCTATTCTCCTTTAAATATTATTTAAGAATTAAAAGCAATTCTGGGAATATATACATTTCCTGCCAGGTATTTGGAAGACAACTAATAATTATAATTTTTTCAACCTTTACTTTTTCTGTAGCAGGAAAAATCTGTATAGTTCCAGTTTAGTCAGTGTTAACCTCTCTTCTTAGTACTACCAAATAACTAAGCATTTTCTCTAGCTCCTTATATTGTCTTTACTTTTTGGCAAAGCTAAAAGAATTGTGTGATACCAACTCCAAGTCTGGGAAGAAGACTAACCTGGAGTTTGTAAGAAATCTTTTCTTTAGCTCTTTATCCTTTGAAGTCCAACTTGTGAGTCTACTGTTAATTGGATACTTAAATTTACTCAATAAACGCTTTTCTTAATAGCTGTAAGAATCATAATTGGATTTTGAAAGAGATATTTTTTTAAAGGACTGTACATCTATTCCTACTTCCCCTTTGCCCCCAAATATGACAAAATGAGTTTAGGCAGAAATATAATTTACTTCATCAAAGGGTGGTGGACCTGTAGCAACTAGAGAATCTGGTATTAGCTTCCTGGGAAATTTTCTACTATTGCACAGTGATATTCTAATTCTATTAAGCCTTATTGCTTTTTTCCAAAAGAGACTTTTTTTGGCTTAATGAAATGTTGCATTTTATCAGGATAGCTTTAAAGATAATAAACCTTTGATTCTGGTCATGGTTCAGTGAATTGATTGATTCAGGATCCTTTCTACTTTGGACTATTTGGCTTTCTGCTTTGTATAGAGTTTTGTTTTTCCTTGACTATTACCTACTATTATTACTGCCATATGGGCCAACATAGAGTGCAATTTATATGATGTGATGATACTAGTAAACGTGCCCCTTGAACGTGAAGAAATCTTCTCCTTGCATGCTGAAAATAAATGAAAAGTCTGCCTTTTATTTCTGTCATTGTTCCCTCTTTACAGAGTGAAATTAGGGAATCTTTCAGAATTTCTTACCACATCATTCTATACGGATTTGACCTTCCTGGATCCTGATGGTGATGAGAAATTATTTGATGATCCTAGTGATGGAAGCTACAGTCCTGATAGTGAATATGATCTAGATGGATATTCAGAAGATATCTATAATCGAGGTACTTTCTGAAATAATTTTATGTGTTTTGTGAAGCTTATAAAATTGTGGTTTTATGGTAAAATTTCAATAAGACACAAACTCAAAGAATAATTGCTCTTTCAAATATTAAAATGTATAAGAACAATTTTAAAAGCAGTCTTAGACTCAGTCCCCAATATTGAAAATAAGAATCTTTCACAAACTATACGCTTTATTTTGGCTGAAATGAATAATACAATGTAAAATTCTGAGCAAGTATTCCTCAGATTGTTTGCAATTTAAAATGTCCTGCTACCAGCCTAAATGTGAGTATTTGGAGTAGACGTTCAATAATGACTGTTTTAATAGTAATAGGTAGAATAAACAGGTAATGTATGCTCTCTCTCCCTTCAAGCCCCCACCGCAAAACTGGGTGGTGACTCTTAGTTTTTCTTGCCTGGTACTGTTTAGTTATTGGCAGTAAAGGTAAATTATTAAAGCTGCTTTTGCTGTTTTGTTGAATTCACTTGTAGCTATTCTGTTTCTAGATATTGCACTGTGGCTACATTTTAACCTTTTTTCCCTCCTCTAGAGTAGAATTATTTTTCCAGAATAGGGACCAAAGAGTAGAGTTATCCAAACATTTCCTACTTTATAAATCTGTTTTAAGTAGTTTTTCTAGTTTGACTTTGTCTGTAGGAAATAAGTTTTCTGGAGCTTATTTTGATTGAATTTTCTTTATGATTATCTGATTTCAGAAAGCCAAGATGAGCTTGACCAGTACATCAATCACCTGTTACAAAGCACGGCTCTTAAGTGCTATCTCCCTACACTTTCTAAGACTGTTGAAGACCGCCATGTTTTCAGTGCCATTCATTCTACACGGGATATACTTTCTGTGATGGCTAAGGAAAAGGGTTTGGAAATTCCTTGTATGCTACTTACTCATCATTCTTTTCTAACTAAAAATCCTATATTATATGCATCTTTTCAGTCCTAAATATATCATATTCTCTCAAGATACTTTGATGTTTAGATTGCTAAAAAGTTAAATATTATAAATAGTATTTATTTATTATAACTATATAAGATAGAACTCTAACTAATGACTTTAGCAGAAAGCTCATTAGACTTGAATCAAGAAACCTAAGTTTATGTTTTTCTCCCATCTGGCCAAGAGCGAACTATTTTACCTGTATTTATCTCAGTTTCCTCATCTATAAAATGAAGGAATTGGATTCATTTATCTCTTAACATCCCTTTCTGATCAAAAGTTCTACTAAATTGTCCTGAGAATATTTTAAAAGGCAAAATTAATTATAATTAAATCACTTTATAGTTCATTTTATTAAGAAAACTACACTATCATTTGAGACCCAGCCTAGTGAAATTCAGAGGCTTATGAACAGAGGATTGGCCACCAGGTGCTGATCTTTTTTTTCTGCCATAGTAGCTCACAAAGACCATTTGTAAGGCGTGAAGGTATTGTGATCTGTAGTATGGAGGCAGCATGTACACCTATAAAGTGATGTGTATTTGAACTATTTAAGTATATAACAGGAGAGGGAGAGTATCAAAAATATTTGTGTCTTATTTGTCTTCTGAAACTCCAAGCACAGGCAGTTTTGTAACAGGCATTAGATGTTGTTTTAATTAGCCTTATAACAGAGCTAATTATTATATAAATTTGGCTAGAACTGAATGATTCAGCCCCTTTAAAAAAAAGCACATATACATGCAAGCCGCATTATTCAGAAAAACATAAAGTCCCAGAATCTCTGAATTGGAAAAGATCTTAGAAATCATCTTGTACCATCTTTTCTGACCTGAAATCTCCTCTATAACATTCTAGTCTCTGTTGGAAGACTTCCTGCCTTCTGAGGTAGCCCATTTCATATCATACCAAAACTTGCCCCTCTGCAACTTTGACCCTTTGCTCCTAGTTCTGCACACTAGAACTAAACAGAACAAGTCTCATTCCTTTTCTGCATTCTAGTTGTATATATGCTTGAAGATAGTTATTATGTTCCCTTCCTCCCGAGTCTTCCAGGTTAAACTTCTCCAGTTCCTTTATCCTGTTATCAGATACCATGGTATGTGGTCTTCTTACCATTCTGGGTGTCCTCCTCAGGACATGTTCCAGGTTGTCAGTATACTTGGTAAAACATGATGTCCAAAGCTAAACACAATACTCCAAATGTTAAAACACAACAGAGTACAGAGGGGCCAGTAGCTTTCTCTTGACATGACTAGTCTGCATGACTAAGATCATGTTAGCTTTTCTGGATGTTACATTGCACTGTTGAGTTATACCAAACTTAAAACCTACTTTAATATTCAGGTGTTTCTCTCAAGAAAACCCCCTGGCTCGGGCCCTAGCTCAGTCTTCATAGTTCTACTTTTCTGTAGTTGATCTTTAAAATTCATATGTAAGATTTTATATATATCAGCTAAGTTTCATCTCACTAGATTTGGCACATTTTCCTTGCCCTTTCTGGATCTTTAGGGATCACAGTTCAATAATCTAATACTAGTATCTCTCCTAGCTTTGTGTCTTCCACAAATTTTGAAGGCATGCTATCTAGACCTCAATCCAGATCTTGGATAAAAAAGATGAAGAGAATAAGGATAGGAATGTAGATCTCATCCCTTTCTGAGTTAACATGATTTCACTGGTTATCTTGTATTGTCAACCAACTTATATCTCCTTATGACTGTCTACAAGAATATCTTTGTAAGATATTCTTATCAAAATACTTGTTGGAATTTAGGTGTACTATCTCCATGTCAATTTGACCTGTCAATCTGTTGATCTTATTAAGAAAAGAAAATGAGATTAGTCTAGCATGACTTTTTCTTGATCATAGTTAATCTCATCTCTTTCTAAATATTTAGAAACTATCCTTTAGGTCAAGATTCTGGGAAGATGATGGAGTAGATCTGAAAATTCCAAGCTCTTCAGATTTCCCCACAAACAAGATAAAATAGTGCCTCAGGGTGAATATAGAGCAGTAAAAATAAGGGGCAGAGTAGGGGCAAAACAGTGGTCCTCCTGGGACAATGGGATAAGAAAAACCTCAGGACCAAGGTTAGGTCCCTGTAAACACCTCCAGGCTAGTTCCACTGAAACAGTAAGCAGCAAGCCCTAGAGGTAGCTGGGTTGGGAGGTAGCCTAGGCCCCGTCCACAGGAATTTTTACCTCCCAGACAACTTGGGGACTTGTGCACCTGAGCTAGGGAAGATTGAGGAAATCTCTGCTATTAAGGGATGCTAGACTCAGCTGTGCTGCCCAGATATGGCCCTGGGTGACAAGGAACCAGCACATGCCTGGTGAGTGCAGAAGCAGTAGGGTGGGGACACCACTGGCTGTGGGCACTTACAGGAGGGTAGAGGTCTTGGTTTCGGTTCCAGGCTAGAGGGAGAAACTGAAGGAGGATCTGAGGCTAGAGGCACTATCTCCGATACTTCAGGACTAAAGGTGATTACAATAATAAGCTGTTACATCTAAAAAAATGAGCAGGCAAAGGAGAAAGAACCCAACTATTTGAAAGTTACTATGAGAATATGGGATTTGTCTTCAGAGGAGGATACTGAAGCAAAAAGAATCTTTTCTACCCTAAAGACCTACCCAAAAAGAACTCATAGAGGAACTTCAAAAAGACTTTAAAAATCAAATGAGAGAGACTGAGGAAGAATTTGTTTTTTTAAATAAGAACAATCCAAAAAAAACAAGAAGATTATGAAAAGAAAGTTGACCAACTGGAAAGGAGATCCAGAATCTTAACAGAAGAAAACGACTCTTTGAAAATTAAAATTGGGAAAGAGGAAGCCAGCAAAGTTATAAGAGACAAGAAATAATAGAACAAAATATAAAGAATGAAATAATAGAAGAGAATGTGAAACATTTCATAAGAAAAACAACTGATCTGGAGAATGGATCAAGAAGAGAAAACGTGAGAATAATCAGTCTACCTGAAAGCTACAATCAGAAAAAGAATCTTGATACAGTAATACAAGAAATAATTAAAGAAAATTATCCCAAAGTGTTAGAACAAGAGGGGAAAGTAGAAATAGAAAAAATCTACTGATCACCACCAGAAAGAGATCTTATGAGGAAAACCTTATGGGAATATCATAATTAAATTCTGAAATTCCCAACTCAAGGAGAAATTATTATAGGCAACAAGAAAAAAAAATTCAAATATGGTGGTGCCACAATTCAAATCATGAAAGACTTAGCAGCATTAACACTAAAAGACCACAGGTCTTGAAACACTATATATCAAAGAGCAAAAGAACTGGGGTTGTAGATGAAAATATCATACCCAATAAAGTTAAGCATAATCCTGAATGGAAAAAAAAATGGACATTTAATGAATTGCCAGACTTTCAGGTTTTGTTACAAAAAAACCTGAACTCAATAGAAAATTTGACATATAAGATCCAGGGGAAATATAAGGTACACATTAAAGACTAATTACAAGGACCTCAACAAGGACAGATTGTTTACTTTTTATATGAGGAAATGTAAAATGTATAAGATTGTTATGAGTAATTGGGTAGTTGGAAAGAAAGATTGAGGTAGCCCTGATTATGCTGTGATTCTAAAGGAAAATGTAAAAGGAGTAATTATATTATACAAATGAAGTACAAGAGGAAACATTGACACAAAGAAATTAGATGGGGGAAGAGGGCTGGTAGTTCTGGAACCCTACTCTCATCGGGAATGGGTTAAAGACGCAACAATACATATAAAAAACTAAGGGGATAAGGAGGGGGGAGAAGATAAAGGAGAGATTTTTAGAGGAAACTCTGCTCATATCAGATCTGGGTTAAATAGAGAACAATATATACATTTAGAAAGGAATAAAAGTTTTTTAAATTTATGAAGAAATAAGGGTGAGGAAATAGGATAAGGGGGGCATAGAAGGGTATTTAGATTAACAGGAAAGGGAGAATAAGGGAGGGATCTTTGGGGGGGTAGGTTAAGAAATAGGAGGGCCAGGTACTGGGTAGAAGTAGAGGAGTCAAGAGAAATAAGAAATAAAAGATACACACAAACATAAAATAAAGATCAGGAGTAGAATTTATTAAGAAAAAAAAGCAGAAGTAGTAGTAGTTATGCTCTTAGACAAAGTTTAAGTTAAAATAAATTCAATCAAAAGAGAAAAATAGAGAAACTACACTATATGTTCCCCATTTTAATCAATATTGTTTTAGACTATTTAAAATAACTGGATGGTATAAGGTTGGAACATTGCTGTGGTGTAATAAACGATGAGTTGGTGGACTTAGAAAATATGGAAAGACTCGGACTTAAGAAGGAAGAGGTTATCCACCGTCAGAGAAACAGAGGGCAAATAAGTGTAGTATGGTCTTACATAAATACATATGAATGTGTACATCTGTATATTAATATGATTATAGATATCTAAGTATGTGTGTATGTACATCTGTGTGTGTATATATGTGTGATATATGTGTGTATATGTACATATACACACACACACATACATCCATGCTTAATTGTCGTCATCTTAGGGGAAGGGGGTGGAGGAACGGGTGAGGAAGAACTAAGTAAAAAGTGCATAGCAGAGAACAAAAGAAAACTTACAGGGAAGCAAAGAAAAGAGGATGACTGAACACCATGCATAATATTTATTATAATAGGCTTTCTTGAAATGGAAATTTATTGCTGTATATTTTGAATCCTCTCTTATGTTCTGCTGTGCACATGGTAATGCTTTTTTCCTTTATTCTTATTTTGTATTTAAGTTTTAGTATTTTTTTTTGTTTGTTTTTTAAGTTTTAGTATTTAAGTTTAAAATAATTTTTAAAAAAACTATCCTTTGGTAATCCAGTCTAGAATTCTGCCAGAAATAAAAAGCAAATTCAGCAACCTATAGCTTGAAGAATTTACCTTCTTCCACTTTTAAAAAAAATCACTACTGGCTTTCATTACTTGTTGGTTCTGCAGCTCTATCCTGCGTGCCAACATTTTTCAAAAATCATGGACCTGTCACTTATGAATCACATCCTTTCAGTAATCTGTAATGTAGTTCATGTTGACTTCGTGATTTCAACTTATTGAGAGTTCCTAGATATTCTCTTAAAGTCTCACTGATCCTGGACTTCAATTTTCTGCTTAGCCTTTTCCTCTGGATGGCCCCAATCTGAGGATCATTTTCCTTAGTAGAGAAAAACAAACAAAAATAAGTAAGTTGAGCAATTCTTCCACTGTCCGTCATCCATTATTATCATACCCCCTCCCAAAGCAGTCTTCTTACTTTTTGATCTTCTTCTTGCCCCCTATTTAAAAAATCCCTTTTGTTATCATTCACATTCATCTGCCTCACCTCTTCTTATTTTTTAGCATGTCTGATATTCTTAGAGGACTGTATCTCTGTTTTTCCATCCTCAGTTATATTTCTTTGCTTCCATCTTCTGTATGTATATTTTAAAAATCTTAATGATGAGTTCTTTGTAACTCATCTCTTAGTTCCTCATTTTTTTCCTTATGAAATTATAGGTTAGACTTTAAAAGGACCCAAGAGATCATCTGATCCAGCACACCCTTCATTTTTGTTTTTTTTTACAGTTGAAGAAACTAACGCCTAATGATGTTATGTGACTTGCCTGCCCAAGGACACACAAACAGTGTGAGATTCAAAATCACTTCTGGCTCCACATTTAGTACTCATTGTATAACACCATGCATCCTGTCTTCCCACTATGCTCCCTCTTAGTGGAATCATTTAAGTTTTTATTTTCAAAATTTTATTCTTGAGGGTATCCTTCTCTTATAAGACAAATTTCCTTATAGAACAGGGATTCTTAACCTAACCCACTTAAAAACGCTCAGCACTTGTTAGAATAATGCAATTCACTGACACAGATTTTATACTGTCTTCTCAATGTAAAAGTTAAGGAGAAAGTTTTACTGAAGAAAAAAAATTATTTAACCACATCCGAATTAAAATCACTGAAATCCAGATTAAAACTTGGAGCTTCTCATTTTCTTTATGTTCAAAAAGAAGCCAATGAAAGAAGAGACCAAAAATATGGCTCCCAGAAATGATAGGTAGCTTGCTGATATCAGTGCCACTCCTTTCTTGCTATTAACAAGTAGCCTGGCAAAGGTGGTAGAAGAGATTTGGCAGAGAGGGTGAGAAAAGGGGGTAATGATTATATTTTAAAAAAAAAACCTTATCAAGCTACTATTCCTTTATTCAGAGTAGTGCATAATTCAGGAAACTGGTATCATTCAGTTGTATAGTTGCCTAGCAAATAATGATACCCTCACCTGTCAGCCTTTCCCAGAGTTCTGGCTCAGAATTCATTCAGAGATGCTTTGCCCTTAGCCTAGGCTTTTTCCTTCAATGCTCTTTTCTTTTCATTATTCTTTTCATCTTATGAATGAGCCCCAGAAAACTCTGAGCCCCACAAAATGCTCCAGAGGAAAGGAAAAGAGTACACAAAGGCTAAAACCAGGCACCAGGTTACAATGGCAGACCAATTAAGAATCCATCATTATACTCTCTGAACCCAAGGACTAAGGAAATGCTGGAGCTTCAGTCTCTAAAACCAGGAGTTAGATGTTTCTGAAGTTTAGATATTAGTCAAGGAGGAGGCCACCGGGCTAAGGTCAGGAGCCCCTTCTTTGTACCAGTACAAGAGGTAGCTCACATGTTTAGAGGCTAGTGTAGTTCAGCAGAGCCAATGTATGAGACAGGATCCTCTACACACCTTCTTTATAGCCTGGATGATAAAATAGTTTTGTTTTTTTTTTGTTCTAGTCCTTCTGATGACATTAGCTAATGAATTTTCACTCTATTTTCATTTTATGTAATGGTTGGTGTTCCAGAAAAGTTCTACTCTGAAGTTTTAAAATAATGTAGAATTGGCTTTGAGTTTCCCAGGACTAGAGCGGCAGAGCAGTTCTGACAAGTCCTCCTAAAAGAGTTTTATGTGTGATCCTGGTAAAAGGCCGCCTGTTAGTCATCAGAGCACAGCCTAACTAGGTTCAGAGACAGTCATCGCCAGTGGGTTGGCCACCTAGTGATGAAGTGCTTTTTGGCCTTTTAGCAGCTTGTTAAACTGTCTCCTAAGTTATGGAGGGAGCATTGTCCCCCTGCTCTATAGATGGAATTGGAAATCACTGAAGTGGAAACATAAATAGGGCAACTCTTGCCCTGATTTCTCACTTGCTTTAGAAAATAAAACTCCTTTATTCGACTTGAGTGGCACCAAACTTAAAAATCCAACTACAAGAGATAGACCACAGAGCAAAGGAAGCTAAATCTGGTGGGAGGTGCAAATTAGATCAAGGATCTGAGGTCATAGCATTTCTGGACTCAGCTTATCCTGGACACAATAGTTTTTATCACCTGGTTGCTAGAAGATTATAGGGAAAATTTTTTATTACCTTTCCTCAAGAAACTTCAATTTAATTCTTTTGCTTTCCAGGTGTTTCTATGTCCTTGCCAATTAAGGTTCGAAGTGCTCATCGGAAATCATTGAACCTTGTTGATTCTCCACAGCCTCTTCTAGTAAAGGTAACATGTTTGGAATATTAGACCCAAATAATAATACTCATGTCCTTGTTACATTCCTGAGAATGTTTTCCTTTCTTTTTTTTCTTTTCTTTTTTTAGTTATTAAAGGGCTAATGCAAAAAGAAATATTCATTTTCTTGATCCCTAAGATTTTGGTCTCCCTAAACTATTCCCCTTTTCTCTGCATGTGAAGTATATGATTTGCTTCAGCATACTCATTTATTTAAAATAAACTACTCTACATTAGATAGGAAGCTCTTGACATCATATTTACTTTTTAGAAACCATCTACCAGTACTGCTGAGAAAGCCAAATTAGCATAAGGAGCGCCTATGGTTTGTTTTGTTTTTTTCTCAGTGTCAGTGTCAGCAAGCTAGGGATACTCATGTTAGTGAAACAATCTGAGGAAATGTTAGTACTCCTATCTTAGTTTTCAAGTAATAAAATGATAGATGAGAACTCCAGGGAGAAAAATAAATCAAGATGTTTGCCAGTAATTCCCAAAGTACCAACTTTTTTGTCCTTTGAACTGAAGAGCTGGTAGGTAAACTCTGGCACCCGTGACAGGGGATGAAACAAGGTTTTTGGTGCTTAATACATCAACTCTGTGCCAGAGACTGTTATCCCATTTGATTATAGCAAACCTGTTAGAGAGGTGCTATTATTTTTCCCATTTTGCAGTTGAGAAAACTGAGGTAGACAAAGTTGAAATGAGGTTAATGAGACAGAGGTTAAATTGCCCAGGATTACACAGCTGGTAAATGTCTAGGGCCACATTTAAATCTAGGTCTTCTTGACTCTATGCCAAATTTAGAAATGTAAATTCGTTAGCCTTTACGCTGGTCAGCCTATCCTAAATTATGAGAAGATTGGAAAACCTTTTACCCCAAATGATCAGCAGTATCCATGACTTAATCTCTGTTGTAATACACATATGATTCAGATGTAATAGTGCCTAATAAATAATAAAGCCCTCATCTTATGGGGTTATGTTTCAGGCTAATTTCATGTGTTATGTGGTCAGCATATTCTCCAATCTGAGGCATTCTGTCTCATAAAATAGTGTATGATACAGTGCCAGAAAAGGGAAATTTAAGCATATAAATTATAAGCAATGTACAAAGGACTTGTGATTTTTGTTAATGTGGGAGCATTCCTAATGGGGAAAATCCTTAGAAGGTAAGTCCTCCTGATTCATATCTTGACACTGGACCCAGAAGGCTCTGGAGGAGAAAATGAGGTTGGTGATCTTGCACAGCCCCACCTCACTTAAATCTAATTCACTTGCAGGTCATGGCATCAGCCATGGTCCTCTTCAGGAACTAAGGACAAATAGCAGGAGATAAGTTCTAGAATGTTGTTTGAACCTTGTAAGTAGCTGTGAGAAATGAGTCCCAGCTCAGATCTCTAGGTACTCTCTATGCTAGCTCTACAGAAAGCAATGCCCAGAATGGCAGTCCAGTTACCAAGTTGGTGGGATTTTTGTTTTGTTTAACCTTACTGTTTTCAGCTTTAATTAATATCCTTCTTTATTTTGGTTTAACAGTCTTCAGAAACTGATGTCCAGTGGCCCAAAGATGCCCATGGTGATCTTGACTGTGAGAAGCTAGTAGAGCAGCTGAAGGAATGCTCTAATCTACAGGACCAGGCAGATATATTATACATTCTTTATGTTATAAAGTAAGTGGTCAGTATTCACTAGATTGGGTTTTATTGCTTTACCTTCAGTTTAACATTCTTAAACACCTGTACTTTACTAGGTGTTAGAGACACAAAGATAAGATCCAGGCCCTGCTCTCAAAGACCTTAAAATCTAATGGAGTACACAAAGTACACGATTCCCATACAAGGAGGAAGACCAGGAAAAGTGCTATGAGAAATCTGGGGAAAGAATAGTCATTTCTCCCCAGGGGAATAATGGAATTAGGGAGGCTTTGTAGAGAAGGTGTCAGCTGATGTGAATAGTGCCTCTAAGAAAGAAAGGCATTTCTATAGGAAAAAGGGAGGAATCTATTCTAGGTCCAGAGAATAGTGTGAACACTGGTATGGAAATAGAAAAGAGGAAGATGGACACACAGACTAGAGAGAGTAGTTTAGTTTGACTGCTATGTCCAAAGAGACAGTATAATATATGGCTGGGCAGGTAGTTTGGAACCAGCTTGTAAAGGGCCTTGCATGTTTCGTACAGACTCTAGAGTTAGGGGTTTATACTCTCTTTGGTAGGCTATGGGAAACAGTGAGAGTACCTGTGAGTAATCATCAGCATGGGGCCTGAATATAATTAACAGTGTAGTGAATGTATTAGAGAAAGAACAAAGTGAAAGTGGAAAAACAAAACAAAACAAAAGAGTATGACAGTAGTCTAGGTGAGGAAAATTAGATGAAGACCTACTAGCTTTAGTATGGTTGCAGTGGGAGTAGAGACAAGGAATCTGGGAGTAGAGACAAGGAATCTAGAGGTAGCAGACTTCAGAGACTCTTGTACAGTGTCCTTATTTTATAGATGAGGAAACTGAGGGTCAAAGTTAACATTACAGAGGTAGTGTCCAAAGTGACATTGATCCCAGGTCCTCTGATTCTAGAGGTGGGGTTCCTTTCACCTTACCATGCTAGGGATCATGCAAAAGATATTACAGAAGTAGCAATTTCAAGAATGGTTGTTCATTGTATGTTTGAGGTGAGAAAGAGAGAATAATCAAAAATGAGTCTAATAGTACAACACTGAGAGCAAAAAATTGAAATATTATAAATTTCCCAGCATTATCAGACACAATTTATTTTCAAGTGAGTTTGTATATTTCAAGTGCTTTGCAAATCTTAAAGTGTTGCAACAAAGCAGTAGAAAGAATATTGACTCTGAAGTCAGAAAACCTGGGCTCATACCCCACTCACCTCTAATGTATACCATGTGTATGACCTTGGGAGAGTCATTTTACTGACCCATATTTAACTGGGACTCAGTTTCATCATCTGTAAAATGAGGATGTTAGACCAAAGGACCTCTTAAATGCCTTTTTAGCTCTAGATCTAGGATTCTATATAAATGCCATTTATTATAATGATGATGATTCTTTGTAAAGCTAAAAGTACTGTTAAGACACTGTCATTGATTATTTACCATTATCCCATATCATTTGTATATTTAAGAATTGAAGATATTCAATAGGACAGTGTACAAATTGAATACCTTTAAAAGATGCCTTTAGAAATAGTCAATGAGATGTCCAAACAGCTGCAACTTAGCCTTTATATTCCAAAACTTTTTATATTTTAGTCATTTGGTTGGAAGACTTTCTAAGATGTATGGCATTTTTCCTACTTTACAATACAATTTTTTAGTCTTTTGTTGTTGACTTAGAGCTGTAACTATGATTAAAAATGATGGTACTCTGACTTAGTAGTGACTGACCCTGATGAACTATTGACATATGTTAGGATATTTAATATTATACTGCATAGCCTCAGAGTGCACATTGTGAAACCTGCTGTCTACTTTTCATAAAATTTTCCAGGTTTTCCTTCATTGTTACAGGCAGTGGCTATAGAGCCTATATTACTTGTCTTTTGTTTGTTTGTTTTTAACTGGAAGTCTGTGCTTTAGAAAGGAAAGGGGGTTTCCTCTTTCTCTGAGTCAGGAGGGGAGGCTGATAGGATAAATGAGGGTACTGAGAGTTTTAAAAGAGGAGAGGAGTTGAAAAAGACAATCATTTATTGATGGCTTTAGTGTCCTCAGTAAAGTCATCAGTAAGCTCATCTGTTGAGAGAGATAAGTTAGGATTGAGTTGGGGCCTTGAGAAGAGGCTCCTGTTGGGAGTGTGAAAGATGTTTAACATTAATAAGAGGTAAATAAAAGGATAACTGTGGAATACTGAGGTCCCTGGGAAGGCTAACAATGTAAGTTGTAGTAACTCCAACAGCAGGATTTTGAAATTTAATCTGTGAGTATTTAGCATTTGGGAAATAGAAGTGATGAACGTACGTGGATAGTGGCAATTGCTCAGCTGTAAAGGTTAACCAAGTGAAAACTCTGCAAGGTCAAGGGGACAAGAGATTTTCTTTAGCCTTGGTATTATTCCCAACCAGACCAATTCAAGAGATCTTTCACACACACACAAAAAATCCTCATTCATACAAAGACAATACCATCCCTAGATTGGTGCACTATTGCTACTTGTAAAAGAACAGGTAAATTACAGCTTTTCACAGTTTCGTGAGTTTAGGGACCTATAAGAAAACATGGCATGAAGAATACTTTTTTTTTTATTCTATAGTAGATTCCTCTTTGCTAAATAAGACATGTAATGAAAGCTATCCATGACTGCTTGTGCTGTGCTACAAAGGAATGTAGATTCTAAATGCTGGGAGCTTCTTTGTTTCTTGACAAATCTCTAATATTTGTGTTTCTACCTCTTCCCTTTCAGGGGTCCTGACTGGGATACAAATCTTTCTGGACAGCATGGTGTCACAGTCCACAGCCTTCTTAGTGAGCTCTACCGAAAAGCAGGCTTGAACAAAGAATGGGGTTTGATTCGTTACATCTCAGGTCTGCTGAAGAAGAAAGTAGAAGTCCTTGCAGAGGTATGAGAGAAGCATGGTTGTTTATCATTATTATTCTGGCTTTCGTGCAATAAAAATGTTTCTGAAACTAAGATTAAGCCCTGAAGTGAGGTAACAGGAGTGAGAATATGTATGTTTACGCAGGACTCAGTAGAAATAGATTCATTCTCATATTCTGTCTCTTTCTCTCTTTCTGTTCCTCCCCCCTCCATATGTATTTGTAATGTTACACATATGTAACATATATTTGGAGTTATAAAACACATTAAAATTCTTCTCTAGTATCACTTCATGGAATAGAGGTTATCCCAGGCAATGCCACATAATCTCTTGACAGGTCCCACCAAACTGGAAAAGCTTCAAGTATAAGCCTAGAAATGAATTATAAGTTTTTTTTTGTCTGAGGACCAGTTTAGTTAAGTTTGGAGAGATGCATCACCAGGCTGGCCACAAGATAATGAACTTTTCAGGGACAGCAGCTTTCAGAAACTTATCTACCAAGCCACAAAGGGGTTGTGTTCTGCTGTTGTAGAAAGAGTATTCACAATCAGTGAAACCACAGAACCTTCATATTTTGAAGTCTGTTTTCTGAAACTGAAAAATGACCTCATCAAAGACACATGGAGGTAAAGTTTAGCACTTCTGTGTTTCCTCCATTCTTTCTCTTGAGAGACTCTTCATATTATCAACTTGGTAAAAACAGCCAGTTGTCTGATTTGTAGATTATTAGGTTCCTTTTCTTTTCCTTGCTGCCATTAGAAAATGAGCTAAGGACATGGAACAAAGCTCAAGCTAGTTCATTTTGTTCCATTTTAGCAACTCTGGGACCAGATTTGCTAAAGAAGGAATGAGATTAAAATTTATTATAGTCAACACTATCAATTATCTGTCATTATACTAATGAGAGATCTTTATTAGCTGGCACTTTCACACAGCTATAATCATAATTTAAACCCCAAGGTTTCTGGACTGTTTTCTGAATAAAAAGTGGTTATGTTACAGCCAGCGTTGTTAGTAGTGTTAAATGTTTTATTGTTTTGAAAATTGACAGATCTTTAAGTAATATCAGAATTAGTATGGAAGAGAGATGTGGTGGTACAACAAGAAACTCTTTTTAATATTAATTTTTTTTTAAATCCTGAAAGTCCCCATACTCTGTCCTTGGCGTACAGTTAATCAACACACTACCAGATGAAGTACTAGGGACACAAAAACAAGCAGTGAAACAATCCTTACTCTCAAGGAACATGGAGGTATTTAAAATGTGATGTCTGGTCACATAGGTTATATTAAAGCTTCAGAGGCTCCAGAAGAAGATAATGTTATCTAGGACTAGACAAACAAGACCTTTACATTCCACGCTCCTGCCCTCCCTCTCAGTAGCTGGTAACTAAGAGGTCACTAGAATGACAGTGTAAAAACCCTCCAAAGAGTCAGACAGTAGCATTGTCCTGAAAGTTGACATTTTTGCTCTGTTGACATATGAAGTAATGAAGCAGTAATCCTTTTTGCATTGCTCTCTTAACTTCCCCTTCCTTTTGGTATGTACATAGGCATGTACAGACCTGCTGTCACACCAGAAGCAGCTCACAGTAGGTCTGCCCCCAGAACCCCGGGAAAGGACCATCTCTGCGTAAGTCCTCTTTCTGCCAAAATTCTCTCAGCCATCACACCTAGGCCCTGTACACTTAAACTGACCTGCCAGTGATTAGTAAGTAGTGAAACAGAAATGGCTACCTGCTTATCACCTAGGGCTGAATAGTATCCATGTTTCAAGGGAGCAGCATGAAGTAGAGGACAGAGTACTGGACTTGGAGTCAGGAAGACTAGGGTTCTAAGTCTGCTTCTGACATTTGTTAACCATAGGCTATTTACTTAACCTTCCTAAGCTTCAGTTTCCTCAATGGTGAAATGGGAGTAATAATACCTATAATGAGGCTAAAATAAGATGATGTTTTTCCAAACCTTAATACACAGTATAAATGCCAATTTGGGGCTTATAAGACAGCTGTTGTCTACAACTAAAATATGAATTCTAGAAGGACACATGGAAATGAATGTTAGTACTGATTGTGTCATTTTACTATCTGATTCTCTTCTCTAGCCCTCTTCCCCCTGAAGAATTGACCAGGCTTATCTATGAAGCCAGTGGGCAAGATATCAGCATTGCAGTCCTTACACAGGTTAAGATTCTGGAGAGGAGTCATATTTGTTTTATATTTCTTTTAAGTGGGTGGTAGAGCCTGTACTGAAGCCATCAATTTTTCCTATAATAACTGTGCTTCCTTGTTCATGTAGGAAATTGTGGTTTACTTGGCAATGTATGTCAGGTCCCAGCCCAGCCTCTTTGTGGAGATGCTCAGGCTCCGTATTGGCCTCATCATCCAGGTGATGGCAACTGAGCTGGCCCGGAGTTTGAATTGCTCAGGTAAAGACTCCTTCTCTTGAATGTCATTGGAGTAAGCAAGCAAGGATACCAGCTTCTAGGTTATACATGTTGATCATAGTGTTTTGGGTGTTCAGTTTAATCTTAAAGTACAATAACATTACATTGAATCTACTTCTGCTCTTCCCACAAAGTATCATATTGCAGTATCGAGTTTGTAATGAAACTGCTTGAGGTTTCTGTGATATGGCATTTGTAACAAGTGTATAAGTGGTCATAATTCATAAGCTTCTATGTCATTTTGAATCATAGGAAATTTATTGCAAAGTGTTTCACTTTACAATCAAGAATCTTGTTAATAATATAGTCATGTAGTTATTTATTTTGGGGTCAAGGTAGGGCTCTTGAGCCATGACTTCCTTAGTATAAGAAATTCTGGCTGAAGAAATTCCCTCTTTATTTTTTTTTATGGTAATTTTTATTTTTTTTTTGTTTTCAACATTTACTTCCACAAGATTTTGAGTTCCAAATTTTCACCCCATCTCGCTCCTCCCCCCACCCCAAGATAGCATGCATTCTAAATACCCCTTCCCCTAGTCTGCCTTCCCTTCTGTCTCTCCCCCCCCTTCTCTTATCCCCTTCCCCTTCAATTTTGCTGTAGGGCAGGATGGATTTCTGTACCCCATTTCCTGTATTTCTTATTTCCCAGTTGCATGTGAAAACATTTTTTTTAAACACGTGTTTTTAAAACTTTGGGTTCCAAATTTTCTCGCTTCCTCTTTCCCCACCCACCCTCATTGATAAGGCAAGCAACTAAATATAGGTTATATATGTGCAGTTATGCAAAACACTTCCATAGTGGACATGCTGTGAAAAACTAACTCTATTTCCCTTAATCCTATCTTGCCCACCCATTTATTCTATTCTTTCTTTTGAAAGAAAGCCCTCCTCAGAAGTATTTGCTTCTGATTACTCCCTTTCCCAATCTGCCCTCCTCTCTATCATTCCCCTACTCTTGTCCTCTTCCCCCCCTATTTTCCTGTAGGGTAAGACAGATTTCCACACCCAATTGAGTGTGTATGTTATTCCCTCCTTAAGTCAAATCCTATGAGAATAAGATTCACTCGTTCCCTCTCACCTTCCCACGTTTCTCCACCACTGTAAGGGCCTTTTCTTTTCTGTCTTTTTTTTTTTTTGTGGGATAATTTACCCCATTCTACCTCTCCCTTTCTCCTTCTCCTAGTATATTTCTCTCTCACCCCTTAATTTTATTCTCCAGATATGACCCCTTCATTTTCAACTCACCCTGTGCCCTCTATCTATCTATCTATATCTATATATACATACATAAAATTTTTTCCCCTCCAACTACCCTAATACTGACAAAAGTCTCATGAGTTACAAATATCATCTTTCCATGCAGGAATGTAAACAGTTCAACCTTAATAAGTCTCTTATGATTATCTCTTTCCTGTTTACCTCTTCATGTTCCACTTGTATTTGAGTCTTGTATTTGAAAATCAGGTTTTCTATTCAACTCTTGTCTTTTCATCAAGAATGCTTGAAAGTCCTCTATTTCACTGAATGACCATTTTTTCCCCTGCAGGATTATACTCAATTTTGCTGGGTAGGTGATTCTTGGTTGTAATCCAATCTCCTTCGCTCTCTGGAATATTATATTCCCTGCCCTGCGGTCCCTTAATGTAGAAACAGCTAAATCTTGTGTTATCCTGATTGTGTTTCCACAATACTTGAATTGTTTCTTTCTGGCTGCTTGTAATATTTTCTCCTTGACCTGGAAACTCTGGAATTTGGCTACAGTATTCCTTGGAGTTTTCCTTTGGGGGTCTCTTTCAGGAGGAGATTAGTAGAGTCTTTCAATTTCTGTTTTGCCCTCTGGTTCTAAAATATCAGGGCAGTTTTCCTTGATAATTTCTTGAAAGATGATGTCTAGGCTCTTTTTTTGATCATGGCTTTCAGATAGTCCAATAATTTTTAAATTCTCTCTCCTGGATCTATTTTCCAGGTCAGTTGTTTTTTCCAGTGAGATATTTCACATTGTTTTCTAATTTTTCATTCTTTTGGATTTGTTTTACAGTGTCTTGATTTCTCATAAAGTCATAGCTTCCAATTGCTCTATTCTAATTTTTAAGGAAGTATTTTCTTCAGTAATCTTTTGGACTTCCTTTTCCATTTGGCCAATTTTGCTTTTTAGGGCATTCTTCTCCTCATTGACTTTTTGGACCTCTTTTGCCATTTGGGTTAGGCTATTTTTTAAGGTGTTATTTTCTTCAGTACTTTTTTGGGTCTCCTTTAGCAAGCTGTTGACTTGTTTTTCATGATTTTCTTGCATCACTCTCAGTTTTTCCTCTACTTCTCTTACTTGCTTCTCAAAATCCCTTTTGAGCTCTTCCAAGGCCTGGGACTGATTCATGTTTTTCTTGGAGGCTCTGGACGTAGGAGCTTTGGCTTTGTTGTCTTCTTCTGGTTGTATGTTTCGATCTTCTTTGTCACCAAAGTAAGATAATATAGTCTGACTCTTTTTGCGCCGCTTACTCATGATCCCGGCCAATTACTTGACTCTGCTTCCAATGTGAAGAGTGTACTGTCTCAAGCTTTGGGGGTTTGTACATCTGTTTTCAGAGGTACTTCTGGGGACCTGCAAATTTTCAGTTCTTCCAAGGTGGTATGATAAGGGGCGAGGTGTTTTCTCTCCACCACCGCAAGCTCTACTGTACCAGCGTTCCTCCTCGCCCCAGGACCACCCCTCAGAACTGTGACCCAGATCTAAGCACCCATAAAGCAAGAGATTCCTGCCTCAGCACTGGCAAAAAGATCCCTGCAATCCCCCTCTGATCTGCCACTTGATTCCCCCTCAGTCTGTGGGCCGGAATCTCAGGAAAAAGCTGTGGCCCCGGGCCTTGCTCAAGACTTGCAGCTGAGACCTAGCTCCTCTCTCACCACAGTCACAGACTTCCCACTGACTTTCTAAGTTGTCTTTGGTGTTCAGGGGTTGAGAAGTCTGGAAACCGCCACAGCTGCCTGCGATTCAGTCCTCTGAGGCCTGCTCCAGGTTTGCTGTGGCCTGCGCGCCCATACCAAATTGTGCTCCTCTCCCCGCCCGGCGCGATATACCTTTCTGATCAACCATCCAGGCTGTCTTTTGCTGGAAATTTGTTTCACTCTGTCTTTTTGCAGATTCTGCTGCTTTAGAATTTGTTTAGAGCCATTTTTTTAGGTATTTGGAGGGCTTTGGGAGAGATCTCAATACAGTCACTGCTTTTCCTCTGCCATCTTGGCTCCGCCCCTCCTCAGAAATTCCCTCCTTACCAGTGCAGATTGGCAACTGGTCTATAGCCTTAAACAGTTGTCTCCAGGAACTGAGAAGTTAAGTCCAAGGTCATTTAACCAATATGTGTCATAAGTGGGACTCAAATCCAAGTCTAGTAGGCCTTGACACCAAGGCTAGCTTACTGCCCACTCTACCATCTCTCACTGAAACATTCAACCTCGTCTGATAAACAGGTTCTTCTTCCCTACACAACAAAAACAAAAATAATGAGTCATTTTCATTTTTTAAGTCTAGCTTTCACAACTTTAACCCGAAGAAGTGGTTAATGTTGAGATTTCAGGCACAGAGACTGTGCCAATAGAAAAAAAGTAGCCACAAGAGGCACTCTTTTGGGTATTCTCAAATCTATGCCAATGTGACTGTCTATTCTTCCTACATATGAGGTTAGTCCTGTGTCTTACATATATAAGATGTGTTTCTTTGTAGGAGAAGAAGCCTCTGAAAGTTTGATGAACCTTAGTCCTTTTGATATGAAAAATCTCTTACACCATATTCTAAGTGGGAAAGAGTTTGGTGTTGAAAGAAGCAGTAAGTAAACAGTAATTTGAATACATATGTAATATATATTCAATATAAATATAATATATATATACAATTATATATGAAGAATAGAGTCCCTGGCCTGTCTTACTGATGCAAGTTAAACTTCTAAATAATAAAAATATAGTGTGAATAGTGGCATTAAACTCTCTGTTAACAAGATTGGCTAATTTTGGGGGCTCTTTTCAGTTATTATACCCTTACGAATTTTCCAGGACACATTAGAGCATTTTTCTCGTTTGTCTCTCATTCAATTTTTTTATCCATCTGTACTCCCTACCACATTATTTTCAGGTCAATCAATGAGCATCTCCTGTGGGTAAATACTGTACCAGGTGCTAAGGGGACTTCAGAGGTGAATGAAACCTATATCTTAAGAACCTTCTAACCGTTAAGGGGGAATAAAATCTCTAAATAGATGATACAGTCAGTGTGTGAAAGTACATAAGAGGTATAGAATTCTTTGGGAGGTCAGAAGGAGGAATCAAATCATACCTCACATTCAGTTATTCATTGAACAAACATTTATTAAAACCTATTTGCCAAAAACCAAGCTAGTCATTACAGATAAAAAGACATTCCTTGCCCTCAGGGAGCTTACATTTTACTGGGAGGAAATAACTTGCACAAAGCTCAGTCAATACAAGGAACATACACAATAAACACACATTTCTGAGTGTTAAGGTGTTAGCCATTGTTACGATCAGGATAAGCCTCCTGTAGGAGGCATTTGAGGTGAATCTTGAAGAGAGCTTGGGATTCTTCAGGTCAGATGGAAAGAAGTGATTCTAGGTATGGGCCTAATTAAAGGCACAGAGATAGAAAAGGGAATGTTCTATGTGAGGGACAGCAAAAAAGTAGGCCAGTTTGGCAGGAAATTATGTGAACAAGAGTAATAAAGCTGTCAAGGTAGGTTAGAATAAAGTTGTGAAGGATTGGAAATGATAGAGGAGTTTGTATTTTATCCTGGAGCAGGGATTCCTAATCTGGGGTCCATGAACTTGTTTTTTAAAATGTTTTGAAAACTTTAGCTCTGTGCATGATATTTCAATATAATTGGTTTCCTTTGTAATCCCATTATTTTACTCTGTGCATTTGAAAATATTATTCAGAAGAAGACTCCATAGACTTCACTAGATTTCCAGAAGGGTCTATGACACAAAAAAAGGGTAAGAACTTCTGTCCTTGAAGGAAGAAAGTTGCTGGAGTTTCTTGAACTGGAGCGTGGCATGGTCACACTTGTACTTTAAGAATATTTCATGGACAACTGTGGAGGTGGATTTGAAAAGGAAGAGATTAGAGTTTGAAGAGATTAGAAGCTATTCCAATTATAAATATAAGACTTAACTAAGGCCTGAACTAGGATGGTGACCATGTTAATGGAGAGAAAGGTATGAGACATGTTGTAGAAGGCAGAGTAAATATTTGGTTGGATATGAGGTTTGAGGGAGAGGAAGAAGTAGAGGAAGATTCCAAAGTTGCTGATGTGAGTGACTAGAAGAATAAAGGCCCTCTCAACAGAAAAATCAGAAGAAGGGAGAATTTTGAGAAAAATAAGTTCTGGTTTGAACATGCCAAGTTTTAAATGCCTGTGGGACATCCGTTTTGAGATGTACAGTAGGCAGTTGGTAATTTGAGACTGGGCTCAGAAGAAACATTAGGATTAGATATATGGTTCTTGGAATTATCTGCACAAACAAGGTTTATATACAATTAATTTTAAAATTCTTGTTGAGTATAAAATATAAGTGCTTGTGTAACTGTAAATGTCTCCTAAAATACCATGAGTTTTCTTAATTAAAAGACAAGTAGAGAAAATATTATATGTATAAAAATATTCATTGATTCTGGTCTTTCTGCCCTCTCTCAAATATTGTAGGGGATAAGGCACACAGAGGGGTTTTGTTTTGCTTTTTTTAAATCCTGTTATACCTTGGATTTCAGTGACTCAGATAGGAGGAGACTCCTGTCTGAGTTCTAATAATTAGTACTGAATAAAAAAATAAAGTACAATACAGTAGTTTTGAGTTTTCTAAAATTATTTATCAGAAGGCCTAGGTCACAAAGTGAGCAAATGGCATCTCTGGAACTGGAAGTCCTGCGGTAATAAGATCAGGGCTGAGACCCTTAGTAAACTTTGTAAACACATTCCAGTTAGCCTGTGGTCATACATGTTTTCTCTCTGGCACTTTCCCAACCAGGTGCTTCTTAACTTCTGTTACACAGTGAGATGCTGGTGTTTTTGTTTCAAAACAAGGTAGTTTAATATGCTTTAATATTGTTTATTTTAGGGGCAGCTCAGTGACTCAGTCAATAGAGCTCTGGCCTTGGAGTCAGGAGGACCTGAGTTCAAATACAGCCTTAGACACTTAATACTTAGTAGCTGTGTGACCCTGGGCAAATCACTTAACCCCAACAGCCTCACAAAAAAAATAAATGAAATATTGTTTAACTTAATATATTTCAGCCTATTTATTGTAACATCAAAACCAAAAAGAACCCACAACTTATTTCCTTGACTTGATTATGTAAATTCACAAATGGTCTACAAGTAATTTAGTTCTGTTATGAAAAAAAAAAAAGATTGAATAGCTTCAATTACAAATAGAATGTCTTTGAGAATAGAAGGAATAAGGGGATTGCTTTGTTTCCTAGGACCTGTAAGTAAGGTTCTGGTACAGAAGAGAGGGATGAACACTATCCTAATCTAGGTATAGCTTAGTTTGCTAGCACTTTAACATATTGTTCTTTTCCCCCTCTTTAGTGCGGCCTATTCACTCCTCTACATCTAGCCCAGCTATCTCTATTCATGAGGTGGGCCATACTGGAGTCACCAAAACAGAAAGGAGTGGTATTAATAGATTAAGAAGTGAAATGAAACAGGTAAGGGAATCTTGTGCAGTGGTTCAGGAAGAGGGAAAGTTGGTCCTTTTTTTTTTCCCTTTTCCCTCAAAGTGATTGAAATCCAATGTTCTTTAGTTTTCATGGCTTCAGATCCTTTTCTTTATGGATATGTAAGGTAGATTTCAGATGTAGCAAGGAGGGCATGGTTTCCCTATGTAAGGCTCTCCCCTCTCTACCCTCCTCCCCCTGCAAAAAGCTTTGTTTTTTGTTGCTTTTTAAATTGTTAGTAAACACTTATTGGTGATTTTCTACATTTGTAGGAAATATTTCATTTAAACTCTAGCGATCTTAAAACAGAGCTAACAGTAAAATACATTTTACTTGTCTTGAACAAGCAGGTTTATAGTTAACTAAAAAAAGCATAATGATTCAAACATAACCTTGGTTTTTTTTTTCCCACACACCTACAGAGATGTTTATGTCTTGCTTGTGTTTCTCTTTAATTTGTCATCCCACTCCTATGTAACATAAAATTCTCCCAGTGAACACTTTTTTTCATTTTGGGCAGAAGTATAAAAGGAAACTAGTGTATAACTTTTCATTAGTAAACAGGCTGATGGTTCATACTTAAAGCTTTTATTATCTAAAACCTCCCTGCCAATGCAAAATAATGCTTTTTTTAAACCAATGTTTGGGTTGGGTTGTGACTCTCCTACTGTTTAGAAGATCACTGCTATAGAAGTGGGTACTTAAGAATACTTTATTTGAAAACTGGTTTATGTTTACTGCCTATTTATTCTAATTACAGATGACTAGGAGGTTTAGTGTGGATGAGCAGGTGAAAGAAACACGACTGGCTTTGGATCTGTCGTGCATGGTTTTCTTCTTTTCTGGTTCAAATCTGAAAGAAAGAGAAGCTATTTATATTAACAAATTTTAATGTACCTAGAACAGTTCTGCCTATCAAATTCTGTCTCTTGGAAGGAAGGAAATAAACAAACATTTATTAAGCACTGCTTATTCTGCTGGGCATGGTGCTAAGCATAAGAGATACAAATATAAACAAAAAGAAATACATTCCCTTCCCTCACAGGAGCTTCTATTCTACAAAAGTTAGAGATATATAGTAGTTTTTTATGGTGGGAGATACAAAAGAACATGAGATAGTCTTTGCCCTTGGGTCAACATTGTGCAGTTACTCACCATTTCTCAGTCTGTCCTCATAACAAAGTTATGTTCTACACTTCAAAAAAAAAAAAAACAAACCAGCTCTTAAAGACTGATACCACATAGATACAGAACTAGATTAAGTAGTTGGAAGAAAATCAGTATAAAGCGAGAGGTGAAGCGTGACCTTCCATTCTTTCTTGTAACACTGAGAATACAGCAACATGGAGCAGCGGAAAGACCACAAGAAGACGGGGCAAAAGATGTTGGGGTCAGGCTCTAACACAGTCACTGAACCTTGTTTCCTCCTCTGCGTAACTGAACTCATCTCTACCTTGTCTTAACTCTGGGCTTTGTTGTGAGGATCAAATAATATGAAACACTTTAAAAAATGTACTGTATAAATTCCAGTTTATATTGTAGGAAGAGAGATAGCATTTGGATTTCTCCTGCACTGCTGAGTTCAGTTACTAGAAATGCCCCACACAAAGTAAAAAAAGAGATCCTGTGTGCCCAGCACCCTACCAGGAAGCATGACATCTAGTCAGTCTCCTAGTGTTTTAATATTTATATTTCTTTGCAGGTATAGTCAAATCTTTGTGGTTTTGTAAACACAGACTTTGCTTGTGAGCCCAGAGCAAAACACAGGTGTCAGTCCCCAGCTTCCAGTTCACACTGATGCTGTTCAAATAAAAATAACTCAGAAAAAAGATTTTTCTTTAGCTTTTCTTTGACTAACCACTTGATGGCACCAAGTCTGTGTCCTCCATGTTCAGATAAAGGTAGAAATCAGTCCCCTTCTGCCCTCAGATGCCTTTTTTGCTTAACTGGTAGTGAGATTAAATTAACTTTTCCTCACCAATTGAAAAACTCTATATTTGGTCATTCAAACACAGACATTTTACAAGAGACATTTAACAGATCTTATAAACTAACCAGTTCAAATGTTCCGTGATTTTAAATAATAGTTCCAGCCCTAATTTCTATCCAGTTTATCAAGAACATTCCTCACAGTATTTTTAACTGGGAAAGATAATGTAAATAAGAACGTGCTCCTGGTTTTTCAAGCAGTATAGACATGTTTGTTTGACAAGAGACAATTTGACTGATGTGGCAATGGTTATTTTGCAAATCCGAGTAAAATTTTCACAATTCTAACATATGTTATAGATGTTGGCGAGGATATCACCCAGGAAACAAATTGCTTGTTAATTTCGTCATCTCCATGATAGGAATGTAGTGGTGCTTAAAATAAGTTTTAATATCAAAATATATATTGGGGGCAGCTAGGTGGCGCAGTGGATAGAGCACCGGCCCTGAAGTCAGGAGGACCTGAGTTCAAATCCGGCCTCAGATCAAACCCTTGACATGTACTAGCTGTGTGACCTTGGGCAAGTCACTTAACCCCGATTGCCTCACTAAAAATATATATATATATGGGGGGGGCGGGCTAGGCAATGGGGCTAAGTGGCTTGCCAGGGTCACACAGCTAGTGTTACGTGTCTGAGGCCAGACTTGAATTCAGGTCCTTCTGAATCCAGGGCCGGTGCTCTATCCACTGCACCACCATTTTAATATAAATATTACCCAGCCTTTAGCTTTGGAAAGGGTGGGCCTATGGAGAAATGAGTTTTTTTTCTGTTTTAGTGAGGGTAGACTTTTATAATTCCATATCTTCTGCTACTTTTTTTTGGTTCCATTTAACTCCTTTCTGCAGTTTCTTATTGAGTTATTGTATGTTGTTAAGGTATTTATTTTTTGTTTTGTAGTTATTTTCTGTGGGCCATTCCATGTCCAGCAGCATTCACTCTTCCAAGTCCATGGTAAACCATCCATTTTGAGTATATTGCATTATGTTCTTTTGTCACCTTCTAATTTGTAGTCTTGGAAACCTCTTGTAACCTTTCCTCTACTCCCACTTCCCACCTTATCCTAAACTTTCTGATACTTGAGAAAGACTATTAGGGGCTTTGGAGAAGTACTGTGACAGGTAGCTAGTGTGGTAGCTGACAGAATCCCACATACAGCCTGTGACTTTGCGGAGGCAGACATGAAATCTTTAAAAGTTCTAGAATGGAAACTTGTTTTCAGTTTTTAAAAAAGAAAAAAAAAAACCCTTAACTTCTAGCATTTCCTGACATGAAAGGCTATTCCTCATTGGACATCTTCTCTCCCCACCTTATCCCTATTATCTCTGTGCCTGAACAGAATATAATCTTCTTGAAGGCGGGGCCTGTTTTTGTTTTGTCTTTGTATCCCTAGTGATTAGTACATAGTAGACATTTGATCCAGACCTTTGATTTCACAAGTGTATAGAATTCCCAGCATTAGAAATTTCCTCCACCAAAGCAAGTTAGCAAGTTTAATTGATTTCCCCATGGTCACACAATTTAACTCTGAGGCAAGCCCTTTGTCCAGTTAGATTTTGGTTGAATTGAAATGGGATTAATTTTGGAGTGTTATGCTGTGGTGTAGACTTAGATTATTTCTGCCAGTCTGCGATTAGAAATTTAATCTCATTCTCTTACTTTGACATGGGGTCTGAGATTAGGAAAAGGAAGAAGAAATAGTGCTTTTGGCAAGGGTATAGTTGCTTTGCATTTCTGGATCATATATAGAACATCAGCTGAGGCATTGATGAGCATAACAGTAATTGCTTTTACTTGTGCTTGATTGTTGCCTCATTTAAAGGGTCTTTAAACAACCTAGCCTAACTACTATTTAAAAATAAGACCCCATGAAGTAAAAGCAGACATGTGGGGAGAATTCTGCCTTAACTTCTGGTAACATATCTAAGAGTTAAAGTATATTAGAAAATTATAAAACAAATGTGCTTTAGAACTAAAATCAGAATAGCTGTGAAAATCTGTAAGCATGAATAAGTGTCCTTCTTTAATTTGGAATTCAGAGATTTATATGTAATCCTCTGAAGAGGAACCATGTATGAGCTTCTTCTAGGGAAATCTTCATTTTCTCTCTTCTCCCTCTCCAAACTACCCACATAAGTTCAGAGGTATGGCCAATGCTCAATTTATTTCCTAGTTCTCTAAATTGAGTAGTCCTTGGAGGTCCGGTCAATTCAACAAGCATTAATTAAGCACCTCCTCAGTGTCAGGGTTGGGGCTAGATGCTGGAGATACAAAGACAAAAATTAAAATAGTCCCTACCTTCAAGGAGTTTATAATCTACTGGAAAATAGGATGGAATGCTTCCCTTGAACGCTTACTAAGAGATTTTTCTATGTTAATTTTAAAGCAGTGTTTGTTAATATGGGGACAGGAAGTTACAATAGCCAAACCACTAATCATAGAAAAATTATTCTCTCTGAAAGAAATGTGTCCTTTTAGGAGAAAGAAAGAGCTCTTCTCCCCCTCTGCATTACAGGAACATGTGTTCCTGGTGGAGAGGGAGGAATTAAATGGAATAAAGATAAAGCATGAGGATAAACACCTTCTGGTGAAGAGGACAGAAAAAGGGAGGAAGGATGTATTGGGGTGGCTATGAGACTAGAAAGAAAGATTTTAAAAGGGCCTGAAGGTTTCCTGTGTTCTTTAACATAGACTCTGTGTGGTCAGTGATACTAATATGGATTCTGATCTTTCATCCTTCATTCTTAGATGTATCATTTCCACTTTTATAACCTGTTAAACTCTTTGTGGGACCAGCCTTTAGGGGGTAAATAAGTGACCTTTCAGTCTAGTAATTGATTTTGTAGAACTGGCGAAATTTCTTATTTTTGCTTCAAGTAAGTAAATATCCCATGTTATTCTCAATTCTTTGGTTAATAGATTTATTCCAGAACCCTGAAAATAAAAGGTTGTATAGGCTTAAAATCACATAAAAGGAGTCTTTTCAGGCAGTCATATGGTCTACAGACTTCATTCTTGCAACCATCATGATTGTCTTAGAAGTAGTCTTGATCTGAAGTAATTTATTCCTTCTAAGTCTGGAGCCATTTGGACACTACAGCAATTCATTTGTATCAGTAGAAGGTTACATAGGTTGTATAGGCTTAAAATCACATAAAAGGAGTCTTTTCAGGCAGTCATATGGTCTACAGACTTCATTCTTGCAACCATCATGATTCTCTTAGAAGTAGTCTTGATCTGAAGTAATTTATTCCTTCTAAGTTTGGAGCCATTTGGACACTACAGCAATTCATTTGTATCAGTAGAAGGTTACATGGTATAATGGCTGAACTATTAAACCTGGAGTCAGGAAGATCTTGGTTAAGATCCTGCCTCTGAGTCTTATTAACTGCCTCTCACCCACTCTGAGCCTAAAATGTAAATGTATAGTGTCTACCTCAGAAGGTTGTCATGTGGCTCAAATGCAGTAGCATGTTATATCATGGTGTTATTACCTGTTAGAGTAGCTTATTAAACAATACCTGATTCACTAGAATTAAATGCTGCTTCCTAACATACCCAGAGTACAACTGGAGAATGCAATTCAAGAAATATTTATTAAGTACGTGATGTGAATAAGACATGGTTCTATGTACTAGAGATACAAAGATTCTCCTGTCCAGGAACTAATAAGGAGAAAGGTATGTGCACAAATAACTGTTACACAAGGGAGAGATCTAAGAGCGGTGCTGTGAGAAATTAGAAAAAGAAATCACTTTCCTTTTCGAAGGGAAGAGATCAGGGAATGCTAGGTGGGGAGGTGGAATCTGAGTTGATAAAAAGGGTCTGGATTAAGGGAAGCCCATTCGAGGAACGGGAGCAAGGTTTGAACAAAGACATAGATAAGAAGAGGCTAGATAAGAAAAGGGAAAAAAATATTTCATTTTTATAAAATATAGAGTGCATGTGAAGGATTAAAAAGGTAAGTCGGAGCCAGGTTGTGGATGACCATGAATGCAAGCCAAAAAATAATTTATTTGGGTGCCATTAAAGAGGTTCTGAAAGTTTTTGAGTAGAAATGGCATGGTCAGAAAAGTATTAGGAATACTTTAGGTTTTAGGGGAAATCTGCCTTCTACTGTCTTTGAATTATTAACAGAAACAGCCCTTAAGATGGAAAAAAAAAATCCAAACAGAATGACCTTCATCAGGTACTCATCCTAGAAAGCACACTAAAATGAGATGGTATTATGATAACTGCTAAATGCTACAGTTTTTAATACAGGAATTGGCTTAATTTGTCAATGTGCCAGGATTCCTGGAATGTCTGAAGACTGCTTATCTTCTTTTCTGCAGAGGTGCAGTACTCCTTCTTCTCCCACGGGCACAGTGTCATCTTCTGATTCCGGTGGTCATCATCTCAGCTGGGGAGAGCGGCAGGGTCAGTGGCTGCGTAGGAGAAGGCTAGATGGTGCCATTAACAGAGTTCCAGTGGGGTTCTACCAGAAAGTGTGGAAGATTCTTCAGAAGGTGAGCAGAGATAAAGAAAGAATAAGTTGGTCTGCATAAGGTGCGTACCAGGTTGCACTCCACTGAGATTGTGGTGTGAGGGGAGTCCTGAGCAAGAAGCTCCCAGTGTGCACACATGGTCCCTTCATGTGGTAACTCCCTTCTCAGAGACAGCATGTTGCCATGAAAAGAGTGCTGACCTTGGAATTGGGACAATATCATGACTGAAAAAATACCAGCTTCTGTGACCAGGGACAAATCAGAGTCACAGAACTGGAAGGGACCTTAAAGGCCATCAACCTCTACCTGTCCTTGACTCAGTATCCTGTCTATTTCACCTCCAAGTGCTTGAAGATCCCACAAACTAGTGAGGCTGCTCTGCAACTGCTGTGTTGCATGTGGACTCAGTGACTTTGTGCTTAGTCAGTAAACATTTATTAAACAGCACCCAGGCACTATGCTGAAGTTTGAGGGATAGAAAAAGGCAAAAAACAGGAGCTCACAATCTGATAGGAGAGGCAATAAGCAAACAAATATGTATAAACAAGCTACATATGAGATAAAGAAGAAATAATTAAAAGCAAAAAGGCACTAGAATAAAGTGGGGTTGGGAAAGCCTTCTTGTTGAAAATAGAGGGAACCAGGGAAGCCAGCAGTTGAAGATGAAGAAGGAGAGCATTCCAGCCAAGGGGGACAGCCAGAGAAAATGCCTGGAACTGAGACATGGAACATCTTGTTTGTGGAATAGCCAGGAGGCCAATGTCACTGGATCAAAGAGTATATGGAGAGGGGATTAAGGTGTAAGAAGACTGGAAAGGTAGTCATTTTAAAGACATTTTATATTTGCTCCTAGAAGCAACAGGAAGCCACTGGAGATTATCAAGTAGTGGGGTGACATGATCGAATCTGCACCTTAGGGAAATCATTTTAGTGGCTGAATGTAGGATGGATTGGAGTGGTGAGAGATTTGAGGCTGTGGCAGTAATTGAGGTGTGAGGTGAAGAAGGCCTGCACTAGAGTGGTGGCAGTGTCAGAGTTGAGAAGATGTTGCAAGAGATGTTGCAAAGATGAAAATGTTGCACGCCACTGAAACTCTCATATCAACAGATCAGCATGTGTTTTAACTGTGCCTTCCACATCTTGTACTTGTTCATTTGATTTTTTTAACCCAACTTTAAGATTTCATGCTTTACATTAAATTTTCTTATTAGATAGAGCCCACATTCTAATCTGCTGAGATCTTTTTGCATTCTACTTGCTATCCATAGTAACTGTTCCCAGCTTTGTATCCTTTGCAAATTTGATAAGCATGCCTATATTAATCAAGAAATTAGCAAACATTTATTAAGTGCTTACTGTTTTGGTGGAGCTGCAAATATAAAGAATGAAACACAATGCCTGCTCTAAAGGAGCTTATATCCTATCAGGAATGAAAACATGTATAAGTGTATGTATTAACTTTATATTTGTGTGGTACATAGATATATGTAGGTATGTGTGTATATATGTATGTGTGTATGTATTTTATATGTACATGTCTACCTTGATGAAATGTAAGCTCATCTGGCTTTGTTTGTAAACACTCACTGGTTTGTTCAATCTCTGCCTTTTCTTTTCTTTTTTTTAATCAAGCTAACATTTGTCCTCCTCCCAGTCTACGTCACCTTTCACATTCTTTATGACGGATAACTGAGAGCTCAGCAAGCACATCTGCCAGTTCTTTGGGTGCCCTTTGATGTTTATCTGGGCCAGATGTCTCGAGCACATTAAAGGAAGGCTAGGGATCTTTTAGCATCTCCTTAACTTTTCTTGTGTTTTCACTTCCTCTGAACAATTTTTGTTTTGTCCTTAGTAGAGTAAACATCAGCAAAATAAGTTAAGTAGTTTTGTTCTTTTCCCATTGTCCATTGCAATCCTATCTACCCTCAAATGAGATCAGCATATGTACAGAGCTTTGTGAACTTTAAAGCACTGTTAGCTATTCTTATTAAAACCCTGAGAATTCATCTTCTCCTTTCCCTGATCCTTTTTCTCTCAGTATAGCTTTCACAAAACAAAGTAGAACCTCTCATTGTCTTTAGCATTCATTGCCAGCCTAGGCTAATTCTGAGCTTTAGTCTCAGCTTCTAGTCCTTTCCTGATATTTTATATTCATTCTCTATTGTCTGCTCTTTACTTCTATCTTATATACTTGTCTTTTATAATCTGACTTAACAGTCTCTTTTGGCAGCTTTCCTCTTTTTTCATCTTTAGAACTGTTTTTGTTTATGTCCTCAGAATTTCAACCTCTCTGGGCCTCAGTCTTCTTATTTTTAAAATAGGGATAATGATATATCTGTAATACCTCTTTCATAAGATTTGGGACCAAATGGCATGCATGTAAAGTACTAGGTGAAACTTTAAGCACTTTATAAATGTAAACTATTATGATGAAGATGCCTTATCCTGGGTGTCCCCAAAGACCTAATATACCTATAAGCTTAATAGTTTACTGTCCCACCTTTAGATATAAGTTTTATTGAATGATTTTTTCTTTTCTTTTTTTTTCTTTTTGATGGGCAGGCGGGGTTAAGTGACTTGCCCAGCTGGGGTCACACAATGTAAGTGTTATGTGTCTGAGGCCAGATTTGAGCTCAGGTTCTCCTGACTCCAAGACCGGCGCCACCTAGCTGCCCCCTATAATGATTTTTAATCATTCATTCTGGACACAGAAGATAAAGAAAGCATATTAGAAGGACAAAAAGAGTCTCTGACTTCTAAGTGGTGTGGGAGATGAAAGGGACAACTAACTGTTAGGAAGTTCTTTATCATTTTGAGCCAGTTTCTGATGTTGCTTCCCCTTTAAATCTGAGCACCCAAGCTATTGCAGCATCTCCTTTAACTTTGCTGTGGGCTTGGAAGAGAACAGCTTCTCATGTTTGTCTAGAGAACACAGAAAGGAAGGAAATAGAAAGATATCTCTCCGTGGCCCTTCTCATTCTTCTTCGGGTTGACGTGAAAACTTATTTTTGTTTTTGCTTCAAGGAACAAATATGTTCCCTTTAGCTTAAAGCCTTGTGTAAAATCTCTGAAAGCTATCAGGAACTAACTGTATGACAGATATTTTTCCCCCGATTTTTTTTCCATTTCACAATAGAAATAAAAGAAAAACAAGCAATACAATGCTTTTTATAAAATGCTTTTATTTATAAAAGGATTTCCACAGCCCACAGGAAATATATTTTATAGGGAAATATAAGATATCTGCCCACTCTCCAAAATTAGACTCCTAACACCCATGTAGGAGAGTAGAGACCCCATTCAGAAGGTTCCTCACCCTTTCTGTTGTGTGTTCTGGAGGACTCAGAGTGGTGGAAGTACTATCAGCAAAGTGTGTTCTTGTAGTCCCAGGCCCCAGCTGAGTGTGAAGGCCAGTGTACCTGGTTTCAGGAATTTAGGATTGAGGCATAAGAAAGAGTAGGACCACTGTACTCTCAGAGAAATCTGGTTGTGCTAAATAATGTGGATTCCATCTGGATTTTCACTGGCTTGATAAAAGGTTCTTTCTGTCCTTAAGAAGCAGCTTTTTGTTAATTCAGGGCTTGATATTTATATACACAGCATCTGTGCACATACGAGTTCTTTGTGAGATTGGTGCTCATTTTAGAAGTCTCAAAAATAGATGATTACAAATGCACAGAACCATCACCTTACTGACCAGACTGATGAAAATGTCCCTTTGTATGGCACCAAGGGGAGCCACTAAGTCCTGTCAGTCATCTGTTGCTAAGTTGGATTGTGAGCTTCCATAAAGGAACAATCACCTGCTCCCTGGGGGACATTTGTTTTTGTGAGAATTGAAAGATGCCTGTGGGTCCACTGAGAACTGTTCCATCAAGATGACAGCTGTGGGTAGTGAGAACACTCGTCCTTTAAAAATACCCTGCCATGTTTCACACATCTTACAGGTTTTATAGGTAGTACAAAGGTGAGTATATAGCTCTGTGTGTATGTGTGTACATATTTAACACCTTCTGTACTTCATACCAAAATTAGTTATTGGTTTGTTTTTTCTTTTTTAGTGCCATGGTCTGTCTATCGATGGTTATGTTCTTCCATCTTCAACAACAAGAGAGGTAGAGTCATGAAAATGGTAGTATTCCTCCACTATTTTATAAGTGCTTTGTTTTTCTGTGGTTAGTACCTCCTTTCACTCTGTTTTTTTCAAACAGCCTTGCAAATAGAATATTGACCCACTAATTTTGCAGTCTTCCTTTTGTGTTTATCATCCTTACCTTCCTCTAACCATTCCTGGCTCCCTTTATTCTCCCTAACCCACCATATCCTCAACTCAAGAAATATAAACATCTCTAACAGTACATAGAGGATTTTACTCCATAAACACATATTCCCATAAAAATTAATGTTGAAGGAAAGACAGAATTGTATCCTTAGTGTTCCACTTATTTCTCTTGTGGTTCACTAGGCAGAACCTCAGAGTCTCTCTTGACCCTTCCTTCTCAGCTGACTACCGTCATCTATGTTGGCTTTGTATTACTGCAGCCAGAACTGCTCTTTCTTTCAGTTTTCAAACATATAGTGTTGTTCCTTGGATTGTTTTACATAAACTCTAAACTTTAGGTTGAGTAGAGATACACACTCTCTTGTTCTACCTTCCAATCTGCACATTGGTATTTAGCAGACTTAAGTCACTATCGCTTTCCTTTAACATCCTCTCATTAATTTTAGTCCAGTTAAGAGCTCGGACATGCTGTGGAAGTAAGGCTAACAGAACTGGAAAAGCACAAGTCATTCCACTGCCTGGAGAATATATCTTAAAAGTTAGGTATCAGGACAGCTAGGTGGCACAGTGGATAGAGCACCAGCCCTGGAATCAGGAGGACCTGAGTTCAAATGTGGCCTCAGACACTTCATACTAGCTGTGTGACCCTGGGCAAGTCACTTAACCCCATTGCCTAGCCCAAAAAAACCCCAAACAAACCCAAAAACAAACAAACAAAAAAAGTTAGGTATCATGACTCCAAATATACATGAGGGGAAAATGTAATCAATTCTCTTTCTGGCTTTGCCATTTGTTCATAGAATCAGAAAAGTTCTGGAAGGGGTTTAAATCCTGTATTTTGTCCCACTATCCTTGGACTGATGAATGTTTAAACCATCCAGGACAGATGGCTTTTCTCTGTGAGATTCCACTGAATTTAAAAGTGTGTCTTTTCTAATTGTTCTAAGCAGGTCACCTCAGCGAACCACAGCAGCAAACCAATGTATTATTTCCTCGACTATATAACTTGAGTTGTTTGATTTTGAGAATGTGTATCTTAGAACATTATGGTTTGTTCACATGAACATGACAGGATATGTTTTCTGTTTCTCTCCTATTATTTTGACCTCCTTCATCTCTGGCAGATGACCCCTCAGGAGATCAAGTTTGCTGTCCATGTGGAATCTGTGTTGAACCGTGTACCCCAGCCAGAATACAGGCAGCTGCTGGTAGAAGCTATCCTTGTCCTTACTCTCCTCTCAGACATAGAGTTGAATAGCATCGGAGGCATCATCCACATAGACCAGATAGTGCAGATGGCCAATGAATTCTTCCTAAAGGAACAGGTTTGTAGAGTGATGCCCTAAAAGAAATTGATGTAATCAGAGATGGGATATAGGATTTGGAAATTGGTTAGAGACCCTGCCTCTGGTAAAAGAGGGCATGCTCATATGATAGAGGTAATGCATTTTCCTAAGGTAGGAAATTCATCATATGACTCAGAAAATTATATTTCTGTGATTTATGAAACAAATTATATGAATATATAAGTAACATACATTACATATATATATAATAAAATAATGAATATTAGGAGACAAAATAGCATAGTGGAAAGGAAGGAAATTTTATACTTGTTTATAGGGAAAGAAATAAAAATTTTTCAAAAATCCTAAAGATAAGTATGTGAAAATTCATTGAGTTTTCTGAATACTTCTAAACTCAAGGCAGTTTTGGTTTTCCTGGTAGCGGTATTGGAATTATTTCTCCCGCTTAAAAAGAAAATATCATAGGTGTGTGTGATATCCCTCTCTTCCAGTTTCTGGCCTTTTCTAACCTATGGAATTAAATATAAAATTAGATGTTTATGTCTCATGCCTTTATCATTCATCTTTTTCCACCGCATCACCTTCTTTCCTCTCTCCCACAGACATCCCTGGGAGTCATGGACACCCTGGAACGAGACCCAACAACAGGAATTTGCCACTTTTTCTATGATAGTGCCCCAAGTGGAGCCTATGGGACTATGACTTACCTGACCAAAGCAGTTGCCACTTACTTGCAGGACTTACTTCCCAATACAGGATGCCTGATGCAATGAGGCATCCCCCACAGAAGTTAACATGGTTCCAGATCTGCCCTGGGCTTCACCCTTGAAAGACACTTCTTTTGTTGGATCCCTAGATCTTCAATGATAGTCCATCAGAAAACATTAGCCCAAAGGATGCTGGAATCTGACCTTGTCCCATACATACCCTTGTGTACGAGTACCATTGAGAACTATGCTTTTCCCTGAGTCACTCTATAGTGTCGTTTTCAAAGGTCATTTTTCTGGTGTAGATCTTGGAATATCTGGCCTCACTGGTTGTGAGAGGGAATTGGAAATGTCTTTCTTTTAAATACGAAGTAAATGAGAATCTAGCCTAAGCTGCTTCTCTAGAAGAGGCACAGAAATAGATTCCATGAGGATTAAATGCATCCTAAAGATGGAAAAGACCTTTATCCAAGCAGTATCTACGTGCCTTGTGGCAAAGTAGAAAAAAAAATTAACATTCAGGCTCAGTGTTTCTGTGCACTGAACTTTATTTTTTCCCCCTAAATATAACAAGTACATACATCTTTTTATGAAAAACTTCACTTTTGTGTGGCTTGACTTTTCTTCCTTGGCCTCTGATTATTTTATTGTAGGGACTTCCATTTGATTCAATTGTCTTATTTTCAGAATTCAGTGAAATTTGTCTATTGCCAAACTTAAGAAATTTGGTTCCTGTGATTGGGAGGATGGTGTAATTCTCATCTTGGCAGTCTTTCAACCAAGAGGCTTCCTCTGTTTTCTCAAAAAATGCTTCATTTTCTTACCCCTGGGGAAAAGAGGAAGGTGAAAGTCAAGTCTTTGTAGAAGGAGTGAATATGAGTATGGTTTAATTCATTTTAAAAGACTGGACAAACAGCTTCTTGGAAACAGGACCACTCACTATAGAGACCACATAGGCAGCTACTATCTACCTGGATGTGCTTTCCACCACCTTGTCTGCCAAGAGACAAAAATGGAATACCCTGGCCTTCTCTTTGCAACCATTTTAACACATTCTGGCACGGCAATGGATGTCTTGCCCTTTTGAGGGAGCCTGGGGTGTAATGGGTATGACTCATCAGATGCAGATGAAAATTAGTGGTGTGTTCCCAAGGGAAAACAATACCTCACCTTATAAATAGTACCAGGCATGGGACTTGAAAACTTCTCAGAGATTTGCTTTCATCCTAATGTTATTAGATAAATCTTGTTATAGATAATAATCTAGAAGAACAGAGGCAATTTGTAATAGGAACGTTCAAACTCATTGTCGGAGACTAAGCAATAAAATGATGGTAGAACAACACTACAATCTCTAATGACCTCTTTAAGCCTAATGTTCTCTATGTCTCATACAGCTAGTGAAACACTCAGTGTTGAGGAGAGCGGGAAAGAGAGCTGTAATGAATAGTTCGACTCCCTTAACCTCAGTACTTCCTAGACAATTCTCCAAGAGCAGTTATCAGTCTGCATTGATGGAGGGAGTTTGCTGTACAGGAAGTTCCCACTTTGTTAAAATCTGGGAAAGAAAAGATAGCTTTAGGAGAACATTCTACTTCTGGAGAGGAAGAGTCCTTTGCACTTCTATTGAGTACTACTGCTTCTAGGGGGCAGGGAGAGTCGCCATCATTATGAGGATGCACTGCTAGTTCATCCTGGGGAGAACCAAAAAATAGTGTTCAAAATAGCACTGGCAGAGTCAGAAGAGCAGGATTTGAGGCCCAGTTCTACCATCAAACGGTTAGTTCTGTGATCTTTTGGCAGGACCTCTTTTTTTTTTCTTTGTGAAGTAAAGTGGCAATACAAGATGGTTTCCAAGATCCTTTCATATTCTAACATTCTCTAATATTATTAATAATTCCCTAATGGTCATAAGGAAGAAGTAACTTTTAAATGAAAAATCTACCATCCAGTGTGTTAATGATAATTTGCTTAAAGCTTTCTATTAAAGGGCCCTTAAGTATCTAATTACCCATTGCTTTTTTAGTTCACCAAAAGAGAAAAATCGACACATTATTATTTATATGCTTATTTTTACTTGATGGACACCATTTATACAAGCAAATCTTTCTCAATGCCTTTTTCATTCTTTCAGCACCATATTGTTTTTTTACTAAAGCTTCAAGTTTCAATGCTGATGTTCAGATCAGCTTCACAGGTCCTCCAGAGCTTTCGCTGATTCTGATACAAACTTTTCCCTTCTTTTCAAAAAGTCAGGTTTGATTTGCATCTTGTCATAAACCAAGGAAAGTTTAAGGCAAAGTCTAAGTCATATAATAATAGCTAGCATTTATATAGAACTTACTCGGTGCCAGGCAGTATGCTAAGCATTTTACAAATATCTAATTTGATCTTCACAACAACCCTGGGAGCTCAGTCTTTTTTATTACGTTATGTAGGTGAGGAAACTGAGGCAAACCAGTGAAGTGAATTGCCCAAGGTTACACAACTAGTAAGCGTCTGAAGCTGGATATTCAGGTCTTCCTCCAGGTCCAACACTCATCATTTCCTCATGATCACATTATGCTTGGACATAACTAGCATTTTACCCATTTTTCCTTGGCTTCCCAGGCTGACAAGTGCATCCTTCAACTGAAAACATAAATTTCTGAGAGAGAAATTTTCTCCTGACACACAAAGGAGTAGTGTAGTGAAAGGACCATCAGTTCCAAGGTGCCCATGGTGGAGTGGGCCCAACCCTCACATTCGGATATGGGACTTGCTGTGTACTGTGCACTACACTAGGCCTTGGGGGGGAAAGGATACAGTGCCCATCATCCAGGACCTTCTAGTGAAGAGACGGTGCACATGCCTAAAAAACTATAATATGAAATTGAATATCTCAGCTTGTTGTCTGCACTCCCACTGTCATCCTCATCTCCCTCCCACCGCAATCTCGGATGTGACCTTTGGGTCAGCCTGCTTTTTATAGGTGGGCTTTCCTATCTTAGCTAGAACTAGGCCTCCACACCACTTCCTGACTATGTCCACATCAAGCTACCCCCATCATTCCTCTCCTCTTTGTGTATCTGTTGCCTTCCTCCATTTCAATGTAAGCTTAAGGATGGGGACTATCTCAATCACTTGTATTTATATTCCCAGCTTAGCACATAGGAAGTGTAATAAATGCATCTTTATCCACCTTTCATCTGTATCATGTTATCTATCTGTCATCTGTCCATCATCCATCTATCCACTTACCTGCCGCTACTTGAAAGATTTTTAACAACCATTTTTAAATGGCACTGTTGCCTGTCACTAACCTGATTCTAGTCATGAGGACGATATCCTGAGAGAGTCTCTGCTGACTTCAGCAGTCATGTGCTTCATCCAAACTGTAAAACAGATTCCTAACCTGGCATCCATAAACTTAAATAAGTTGATAATTACATTTCAATAAGATGAATTTCCTTAGTAATCTATACATTTTATAAATTGAAAAATGTTATTCTGGGAAGAGATCCATAGGCAAAGGGGTGCTGGAACTAAACCCACTTTATGATCTGATTGTTAAATTTCCAGGATAAGGTATTTGCACCTTGGGGGAAAAAACAAGCGCTACAAATGCAAATTAAACTCAGAAGTGTGTTATGCATACGTATTTTTTTTTTTAGAGAGCTGGTTAAACATTTGCCACCACATCCCCCATCTATAAGCTTCACCAAACTATCAAAGGAATCCATAATTCAAGGAAAGAAAAGAACACTAGGGGGAGGAAAATGCACATCTTCCTGAGTTGACTATCCTAAAGTCATCTTGTTAATCTAAGGGGTATAGTTAGTATGGATTTAGAATGGTACAATGGAAGATCACTGGCTGTGAAGTCAAAGGACAAGGGTTCAGATCCCATCTGTGTTAACTTTGGACAAATCATTTAACTACACTGGGTCCCACTTTCCTCATCCATAAAATACAGGAATTTGGACCAAACAGATTTCTGAGGTCCCTTTCAGCTCTTAGAGCTATGATTTTTTTCAATCTCTACCCACCAGAAACCGTGCCATGCTCCCTGAATATCTTTTAGGTTTCACTGATTTCACTTTAGGTTTCCTAGTTACATGATCTTATATGATTAAGTCAGATCATCTTATGAATAGACAGGTATGCTTAGCATAGAGTGCTATAGTTTGGATAGACTCAGTGAAATGAATTTTTAAAATACTGGAATATAACTTTGTTACATGACCATAGCTTTGTTTAAACCCAAACTCCAACCAGTATATAGGCACACTGAACCCAGGAGTTCCAGTAAAGATACAGTTAGGCCATTTCCCCACCATGGCTACAGCTATGCATGGACAAAAGAACGTAGAATGCAACACAGTTCCAAAATGCCATTCAACACATGGCCTCTTGGGGATCAGTGACAGGATCAGGATGGGGAAGTATCAGTGCCATCCTTTTTCATTCACACTTCTGTCAGATCTCCCCCCTAACTACTTCTTCCTTGATGTCTGTCAGTCTGAGTGACCAACCGTTCCTCTGGCTCACTTCTCAACAGTGGAGTGATAGGATATAGGCACTAGTAAGACTCAACTCTGGTCAAGACTCTGTCCCATTACTGCCTTGCCTTGTGGGTTTCCTTTTGTGCTTAAATTTTATCCCTTCTGCCTCACCAAGAACCAGTTATATCCCTTTGTCTTCTGATGAGCAGTTAATTGGGCTACTGCTCTGCCCTTATCACAACCACCAGCTCTATGCCCCTGTCCTTAGAGTTGAGGGAGTGAATGAGAGTGTTACAGGTACAAAACAGTGAATTTGAGAAAGGAAAGATCCCCTCTGGTATGTACGCTTTAAGAGGTCAAAGACAGTCTATGTTCTGCAGAGCACATAGCACAATTCAAGTGCAAACCAGCTAATGAGTTTACCAACTAAATTGGGTTGAAACTTGGGAAGGAAAGAGGGCAAATATGTCTTCTATGTAAGATTGACTGACTTGTTGACCTTGCTCTGAAGTAGATGTTTCCAAAAGTTTCAACTTTAAGCTGCTAATCCAAATTAGGTACAACTGTCTCAGTTCCTAAAACATTTCCATTTCAGAGACAGCTTATAAGGATAATTTGATTCATTTGTTGGTTGCTTTGCTGGAACGTTCTATATACACAGTCACTGTGAGGCAAGTCCTCATTTCAACTTCAGAGTACAAAAGAAGAGACAATTCTCTGGAACAAGCCTGATTCTAATTTAAAACAATCTGCTGCCCAGAGAATGTGGAAAGAAGCAGACACTCTTATTTTGTGCTGCCCCTTAGAGCGCAAGCAAGGGGGATCAGCCCTAATAAGAAATTCAATCTAAGTGTTTGATTCACTTTTTCAAAAGATCTTTAAAATGAAATCCTGAAATAGTGTTGCATTTCCACAGGCAACCAGCTGCTGGATTCAAAGTGTGGAAGCAAGCTTCCAGTCTTGCTTTCTTTTTTTAAAGCCTTCGAAAGACCCACGTGGAGCAATGGAAAATATGTATCTGTAACTGAGAATTATAGGGACAGGCACAGCTAGAATGGCCCATTTTTTTTTTTTTTTTTTTTGGTAGTTCACTGATTGTCCATTTGAGGTAAAGCGGAGAACACCAAGGCCCGTTGAGCACTTGTGGGTGACCAGAGCTCTCTGGCCTGGAATAATTTTAAAGACTTAACGGTGGACTTTGCTCCTCTTTGGTTACCACTTTAGAAAAGAAAGAAGGTCAGTTTTGGACTAACTGGGATCTAAACAAATAGAGTTGAGCTGGCATAGTGTTCTATTTTGCAGTGATTGATGTCTTCAAAGAGCTAATACTGGTCCTTTGTGTTTCTTGACTCAAAAGGCTTTTCCTCGTTGTGACCTTTTGACCAAATTGATGATGATAATTTGCAAATTATCCAGGCCCATTTCCCTCCTCTCCTGCTCACATTTAAGCCATTTTACTGGTTATTAGCAGTTCTACTCAATTGATAAGCATTTAAGCAACTACTCTGTGCCAGGGACTATAGTGGGGAAACAAAATTAAAAATTATTCACATTTGGGTAGCATTTTAAAGTTTACAGAAGATTTGGATATTTTTAATGATAAATGTGCCATAAAATATCATAATCTTCATTTTATAGATGAGGAAATTGAGGCTTAGAAGGATTAAACAAATAATTTGTCCTTGTCTAGTCACACACCAGTAAGTGTTGAAGAAAAATTCTAATTTACCTCCTGATTCTAAATCTGGCACTGTCCTTGACATAGGAAGAGCCTAGAGTATGACCCTGGCTCATCCCCAAGGCTAGATTGAATATCCCTACAATTTGCCTTTGTGCCCCTGCCCTGAAATTTTACCTGTCAGAACATTCAGCTATGCAGCATCACTTGAGTATGTGGAGGGAAGACCAGCAAAGCAAGAAGAACATCATTTGGTGCCTCTGAGATGAATTGCAGAGAGTCAGTTCTCTGGTATTTGGGATCCTTCTCAGTCTGGGCTCCAATATACCTTGCCATGCAGGTTGCTCGTGAATCCCCTTCCTACAATTTACAATTCATTCAGAGAGTGGTCTGCTTTCTCATGCACTACATTCCATCTTTTCTCTCTGTTTTTGCCTGAGCAATCCCCATGACCAAAATGCCCTTCTTCTCACCTCCGCATCATACAATCCTTTATTTCCATCATGACACAGCTGAAGTGCTGGTTTGTATGCAGAGTGCTTTCCTGATTCCTGCCCTCCTTGCTACCTCAGATGAATTTTGTAATTATTCTTTGTAAATTTATACAGGTACTGGTTGTATACCCCAATAGAATGAAACCCTCTTTAGGGCAGATAACTTTTACTTTTTGTTCTTGTATCCCCAGCATCCAACACAGTGCCTGGCACATAGTGGGTACTTAATATACACTTATTAATTAATTGAAGCATTCACACCAGAACTTCTGTCTTCCCAGTGACAGATTCTGAGTGTTTATAATTCAACATTCCATAAAAGAATGGAAAATAGTAAAGGAAATTCACTGGGAATTGTGTGTAAGTAAGGGGCACAGGGTCAGACAGACTCAGACAGATGGCCAAATTACAGGCATTACCCACTGATATATAGGAAAACCATGCATTTTCCCTGGATGCATTCTTTTAAACCTTGGTGGACCTGAGGTGTTAACTGCATCCATCTCCTAGCAGCAATTTACTCAATTGGCACTGTCCATTTCCCTGTGTAATAAAACCTTGAATTCTGACAGCAAATCTAATCTTTTACTTATGTCTCCAAAGAGTGGTAACTAGAGGAAGAAATTGAGAATATCTGAAATGCTTTCTGTGCAGCACCACAGATAAAAGAATTTGTTCGCTACCGAGCCATTTTTTTCTAATGAATAAATGGCATTCCTTTCACTAAATAAAAAAGATAGACAAGAGGAGCAGGAGCCTCAGGAAAGGGTCTGCAAGTCATCTCAGGCTATTGATTGCTGCTATTTCATGCTAGACAGGAAGGCAAGCTTGGCCTTTTCCGATGTAAGCTACAGCAAAGCTGTCTCTCAGTTCTATTCTCTTGCCTGCCAACCTGGATAATTTCTTTTGTCTCTCCTGCTTCCTTATTGTCATAAGCATATAAAAATCACGCCCCCCCACATCCTCCACCCCCTGCTGCGCTTTCTTTGAAGGTGACTCTTTGCTTTGAAGTCCCCACCATCTGTTCTCTGAGCATTTACCATCTGTGCCTGTAACTGATTCCCAGCAAGCCCCTGCTCCACAGATTTGCTTGCTCAAGTTATTTATAAATGTCTCAGGACAGGAAAAGTAGATGATTTTTGTCATCGTTTTGTGTGACGAAATTCTGTCCTTCATCTGTGGTCATCAGAAAGGGTACATCTTGCCTGGAGTGGAGCGGAGTGAAGAATTGTCTCTCAGTATTCATGTGGCCTAGTGCATGCCACCTGGGTGTGGGGAAAATATCCCAACTTCACCCGGTTCAAAGTTTATCTTTAAGTGGTTTAGCCCAGCAGCATAAGTCTGAAAGGAATGTTCCTTTTGTAATTCTATCAGGGAAATATCAAACGAGAAACATAATTTGCACACCTATAAGTGGGAATTTCCATATCTAGGGCAAGACCAATGAAAGTCAAATTCATTTCACTGGGGGCAGGGATGAAAGTGGGCCTGGGCCCAGGGTATGTTAGGGGAAATGGAGATACTGTAGG